ATCAGGCTCTCTGGTCGGTAGGGAGTCTGCCTCCCCCCTCTCTCTCTGCCTGCCTCTCTGCCTACCTGTGATCTCTCTCTCTCTCTCTGTCAAATAAATAAATAAAATCTTAAAAAAAAAAAAGCAACAAATGAAATTTTAAAGTTGTCATGTTTGGGGGCGCCTGGGTGGCTCAGTCCATTAAGCATCCGCCTTCCACTCAGGTCGTGATCCCAGGGTGCTGGGATGGAGCCTCGTGTTGGGCTCCCTGCTCAGTGGAAGCCTGCTTCTCCCTCTCCTCCCCACTTGTGCTCTCTGTCGCTATCTCTGTCTCTGTCTATGTCTCTCTCAAATAAATAAACTCTTAATAAAAATAAAGTTTTCATGTTTGTTGTTTTAAAAAACTGTTCAAACAATCAGGTAACGTTGGAAAGGACTCTGGCTCTCACTTAGGGTGGGGGAGGGTGCTCTGCATGATGGAGGCACCTGCCGTGGGCCACAGCCTGACCGGGACACTCTGAGCCTCCATGGAGGATGTTGGGGCCGGCAGAAGAGGTACCAGGTCTCCTGGTCCAAAGGACCCAGTGAGAAATGGTGGCACCGCGTTCAGGCAGCAACCATGGAGGAAGTGAGAGTCTGCAGCACATACGGAAAAAGTTAGCCCTCCTTGGCCGGAGCTCCAGGAAGCAGGAGGCCAACCTTCAGGGACGTGGGAAGGGTGGTGGTGGAAGCAGGCAGTTCGTGCGGGAAGAGGAAGGTCGGGATCACCGTTTGGGACTTTGACACTTTAAAGTGCATACGGGGATGGGGTGCCTGGGTGGCTCAGTGGGTTAAAGCCTCTGCCTTTGGCTCAGGTCATGATCTCAGGGTCCAGGGATCGAGCCTCACATGGGACTCTCTGCTCAGCGGGGAGCCTGCTTCCCCCTCTCTCTCTGCCTGCCTCTCTGCCTACTTGTGATCTCTCTCTGTCAAATAAATAAAATCTTTAAAAATAAATAAATAAATAAATAAAATAAGATGCTCACAGGGCATCCGAGAGTTAGAGTTGTGAGAGCTGAAGTCGTGGAGGCCAAGAGGCCCTGGCCCGGCATCTAGCCCGTATTCTTTACGCTTGTCTGTTCACCTCCTTTGGCTCCTTTTCCAGTACAAATGTCATTCTGTCCCCATAACAAACACACCAACGTCCAACTGAAATGTAGAATAAAATATGTCCTTAACAGGTATGAATTACTTCTTGATTTGAATTTTTAGGCTCTCTCTGTCATACTTGACATATGTGTTTATCCTTATTGATTGCCTTCTAGTTCTATTTTAGTTTTTTTTTTTTTAAGATTTTATTTATTTATTTGACAGACAAAGATCACAAGTAGGCAGAGAGGCAGGCAGAGAGAGAGGAGGGGAAGCAGGCTCCCTGCTGAGCAGAGAGCCCGATGCGGGGCTCGATTCCAGGACCCTGGGACCATGACCTGAGCCAAAGGCAGAGGCTTTAACCCACTGAGCCACCCAGGTGCCCCTCTATTTTAGTTTTATTATGCAACCTAATGGAGGAACTTCCATTTCTGTGAGCCGTCACTGATCATTTCTTGTGCTTATCACCACGGATTTATCTTCTTTACACAATGAGGCAACATTTACTCAATTTTTTAAAAGATTTTATTTATTTATTTTAGAGAAAGAAAGCAAGAGGGGGGAGGAGCAGAAGGAGAGGAAGAGAGAGAGAGAATATCCCAGGCAGACTCTACGCTGAGCACAGAGCCTGACATGGGGCTCGATGCCACAACCCTGAGATCGTGATCTGAGCTGAAATCAAGAGTCCTGTGTTTAACCGACTGAGCCACCCAGGAGCCCCTTCTGGTTTTTAATGTGAATGTTTTTATGTTTGTTTGTTTGTTTTTTTAAGATTTATTTATTTGACAGACAGAGGTCACAAGTAGGCAGAGAGGCAGGCAGAGAGAGAGGGAGGAGGAAGCAGGCTCCCTGCCGAGCAGAGAGCCCAATGCGGGGCTCGATCCCAGAACCCTGGGACCATGACCTGAGCTGAAGGCAGAGGCTTAACCCACAGAGCCACCCAGGTGCCCCTATTTTTTTTTTTTGTTTTTTTGTTTTTTTTTAAGATTTTATTTATTTCCTTGACAGACAGATAGGCAGAGAGGCAGGCAGAGAGAGAGGAAGGGAAGCAGGCTCCCGGCCGAGCAGAGAGCCCAATGCGGGGCTTGATCCCAGGACGCTGGGATCATGACCTGAGCTGAAGGCAGAGGCTTTAACCCACTGAGCCACCCAGGCACCCCTGTTGTTGTTTTTTTTTTTAAATAAAAATTTGCCTATTAAAATGTTTGCATGTAAAACTGGTCTGAAAGAGTACAGCGTAGAGGATTCTCCTTCGTCTGGGTACCCCATCCCCCACTCCCGGGGCAAAGTCCTATCCCTGGTCTGTTGGGTAGCCCTAGAGTTGGTCTCTGTGTATGCAAACACAGACACACACGGACACACACACACACACACACACACACACACACAAACATTTATTCAGTGATATACTTGGGAGCTTTTTTGCTTGGCCTAACATTTTTATGGTTCGTCCTTGCTCTAGTATCTGTACTTTGCTCCTTTTTATGGCTGAATAATATCCCACCGTAGAGATAGACTGGATTTTACTTCTCCATCCGTGAGCTTCTGGACATTTGCATTGCTTTCACTGTTGGGCTGTTGTGAATAATGACCATTCTTGTACAGATTTTTGCGTGAATGTCCGTTTTTGTTGCTCTTGGAGAGAAATCTGAGGGTAGAATGGCTGGGTTCTGCAGTCGCTCTGTGGATAGCATTTTAAGGACCTCCACACTGTTTTCCGAAGGGGCTGCTTTGTTTTCTGCCCCCCCCCCAGCAGGATATGAAGTTCCCATTTCTCCTCATCCGCACCAACGCTTGTATTGTCTTTTCCTTCATTATGGCCCTTCAGTGGGAGTGTGAGATGCCTCCTGTTTCCCAGACAGAACATTTTCATTCCATTCCTTAATTAAACAGTAATTCCTTAAATTTAAAACACTTGTATTACCATGTATGTTAATACGTTGTGTTTTTCCATATGTCTTATCTTAATACCATTGATTAATGGGTGTGTTTTAGGTGCGTGTGAAGCTACTTTGATTCCGTTCCTTTGGCCATTTTTTTCAATTTGTAATAGTTTTACTGACATGTGTTTTAATAAGATGCCCTGTGATGTTTGAAAGCCTCTCCACTACCGCCTGCCTCTCCCAACAAATAGTGCTGGCTAGAATTGTCTTCCCTTTCTCATTCAAACTTAAACTGTTTGTTATGAAATATTTGAGGTATATAAATACTTGTCATATCTGCCCTTTTCTGTCTAAATGACTATTGTTATAATTGGATGACGTCCTCCCAAGTATCCTGCTCTAGTGTAAACAGCATTGCCTTAAATCCACATGTTAACTCAGAGGGGGTTTTCTTCTTCTACTTTCTATGGTCACAGGGAGGTTCATCTTAGTCATTTCGGGCTGCTGTAACAGAACCACTCCAGGCTGAGTGGCTTACACGACACATATTTGCTCCTCGCAGTTCTGGAGGCTGGGAAGCCCCAAGCTCAGGGAGCCCACAGATCTGGTGACCAGCAAGGTCTTTCTTCCTTGGTAGATGGCCACCCTCTCCATATATGGTGGCGAGGCGGGGGCCAGAGAGGAAGCAGGCTGTCCCCTGCCTCTATTTTGTAAGCTCCCTGAGCCCTCCAGAGGGCTCCATCCTCCTGGCCCCGGGGGCCAAAGACCCCACCTCCAGATACAGTCACACTGGTGATGCAGGCTTCAACACACAAATGCGGGGGGAGGAAGCGTGGGGGGGCACAAACCCGTCTTGTCTTTTTTCTAACAACAGTGGTTAAGGGGCACCTGGGTGGTTCAGTGGGTTAAAACCTCTGCCTTCGGCTCAGGTCATGATCTCAGGGTCCTGGGATCAAGCCCCGCATCGGGCTCTCTGCTCAACAGGGAGCCTGCTTCCCTCTCTCTCTCTTCCTGCCTCTCAGCCTACTTGTGATCTCTCTGTCAAATAAATAAAATCTTTAAAACAAACCCAAAAACAACAGTGGTTAACCTCTCTCTTGTTTAGAAGGCTCGGTATTTATGTGGATTTATCTAAAGCGCCGGAACTTCGTGGTTCCCTCCTTCCCTTTGTAGATACCGAGGCCGTACACACCTGCTCTTCTGCCTGCCTGCCTTCCCTCTGCTTTCCAGCCGCCGTTCTTCTTGTCCATTCTGTATTGTTAGACAACATCTCTCTCAGGCCTGTGAGCCAGGGTGTCATTTCATTGTGCTCTTGGTGAGGCAGTGATCAGTGCCTCTGGGTTTTCTCGTAAAGAAGAATGTTTATTCTTGGGGCACCTGAGGGGGCTCAATTGGTTGAGCATCTGCCTTCTGCTCAGGTCACGATCTCGGGGATCAAGTCCCGCATGGGCTCCACGCTCAGCGGGGAGCCTGCTTCTCCTTCTCCCTCTGCCCTCACCCACCCCCCGCTCATGCTCACTCTCTCTCACGCTCTCTGTCTCTCTCTCAAATAAATAAAATCTTAAAAAAAAAAAAAAGAATTTTTATTCTCAACTGACTCAAAAATTCTTCAGATGTAGTAAGAAACAAGATTGCAAATCTTACCCTGTGGGGAGTTTACTGGGAAAGGAAGTTGGCATTGGTGGTGAGGATTACTCCGTTTTCATCCAGATGAATTAGCTGTCGAAAGTCTGCTAGATTCCAAGGGCCTACTCTGATCCCACAAGTCACTGGAAGGCAAATGTCCAAGTTGGAGGAGGAAGAAGGCCCCCTTGGGGCCACATGTGGCAGGAGGTGACACCAGCGAGGGTTGGGCTGTGCACAGTCCAGGGACAAAAGGAGATGTGGCTGGGGAAGGATTAGATCTGTGCTCGAGGGTAGAGGTCTCTTATGGGTCGAATGCCTCTGAGGTGTCTCCAGAGGATTTGGGATTTGGAATACTGAGGAAAGTGCCCTGTCTCCTCTCTTTAGGACCCTACCCAAAGAAGCAACGTGTAAATCCAGCTCAGAGCATAGGACTTGGCTCAGGAACTCATGAGACCGTCTCTGCAGACACCCTAGAACATCTATGATGAACCAGGAGGCCAAGTAGGTGACCTTGACCCTTTACCTCCTCTCTTTCCCTCCCATCCACTCCCTCACTCCCTTCCTAGTCCCTACCAAGACTGCTCCCTACCCAGATTTAGCTCCGTGGGCTGCTCCTCATACAACAAACGTCCCCTTAGCCACCATTCAGCTTGAGAGTGAAGGTCATCAGACACAGAAGATCAGGGAGGGCCTTGAGACAGAATCCAATCTACCCATTTTATAGATGGTGTGACTGAAGCCCAGCTCGAGAATAGACTTGCTCAAGGCCAGGCCATAAATGAATCAGCTAGGATGGGCTAGTTTATGGTCCCATAACACCCACCAATGTCCTAGTAGCTTAGGACAATAAGAGCTTATTTCTGCTCCTGCTTCTTGACTCTTGTCAACCAACTAGGACCTCTCTTCCACATTATCCCCTTGCTGGGCCCAGGCAAAAGGAGTAGCCAAGATCTGGAATAGTGCTGGTCCCCAGGGTAGAGGAAAAGAAAGAACTTCGCGTGCAGACATGACACGAGTCATTCTTTAGCATGTTTCATTGACCAAAGCAAGTTTCGTGGCCATGGCTGACTTCAAGGGGGGAGGGGAGTGCCGTCCAACCACAGGTCTAGGAGGAGGAGATGGGGAATATATGTGACCAGTCCTAATACCTACCACAGAGAATTACAGGTACAGAGCTGGGTCAGAACACTAGTCTTCCTACTCTGGGGCTGAGGATCTTTCTACTGTAGTCCTCTGTCTCCAAGGTTCTTTTCCATAGAAGCCTCAATGACCGATAATAATGTAATAGGCTTTTTCTCTCGTGGGTGGTTTTCCTGAAAGGGTGTGATGCCTTACCCCAAGGGGACCGAGGCTTAATGGCAGAAGCAAAGGCATTGTGTCATACTGGCAGGGTGGACACATTTGGGGGTTAAGGATTCCCCCAGAATTATACCACCTAGACACTCTGCACTTCCACCTGACACCTGGCTGTCCTGGCTCATTTCTTTATGGGCATTGTGGACTTGGAACACCACAGCCCAGAAAAGAAGCTGTGTCCTCAGCCATAACCACACCCTCTGACGAAGATCACACCAAGTCCAAGGACTTAGTCCTTGTCTGCTGCCATCTAGGGCTCCAAGGCCTCCGAAATTTACTGACCCGACAGACAGCAAATCTCAGTTCTGAGCCTGGCTCTGCCATGGTCCTGCATGATGACCTTGGGCACATCCTTGGCCTTCGTCTTTCCATCTGTTCAGTGGGGATGGTGATCCCTGCCTACCGCATGGATGTGAGCATGTTTCATGAATTCTAAAGCTCTGTGGTGGAGCGAGGAGCTATTAATAGCTACCAGTCCAGGTGCCAAGGGATGGCCAGAGGGGGCTGGGGACACATGCCCTTGCTGGGAGTCAAGGGGAGCAGATGCAGTCTGAACCCTGGGACATAGAGTCCTGCACCCCAGCCCCTGAGAGTTGGTAAGGCTGCTTCTCCTGGGTGAGCCTCCCACTCTTTTCGGATTTGGAAGTGGGGTCTCTGCAGTCATGAGGATTATATGAGACACATAAAGCACTTAGAACCATGCCTCGCTCATAGTCTGTGCTTTCTAAGTGTTCACTACTGTTCTTAAGTTAATAGTACCAGAAAGTAGATTTGGAGATGTGACAGCATTTTCCACCATATGAGGGACCACCAGTTAGTTAAATCCCCAGGTTTTGGACATTTAAGTTGTTTCCAGTTTTTATCTATTACAAATAGCCTTGCAGTGAAACAGCTTTGTAATTAAAATTTTTACGTACACTCATAATTATTTCCTAAGGCTAGAGTGCTAGAAACAGAATTGCCACATCATTTTTTAAGAATTTTTTAAAGCTTTGCTATGTAAGTGCCCCTTGCCTTTTATTGGTACTCCTACCAACAGCTTGTTTGAGTGACAGTTTAGAAGGGGAAAATCTGCTGAGAGAGAAGGAGATGGTTTGTATTAGCTAGCACTCAGTTTCACTGTAAGTAGCAAAATCCCTAAACAATAGTGCTTTAAACAAAAATGTATCTCCTTGTCATGTCAGAGAAGTTCAGCCTTACTCTCTGCCTTACCCTCCACCGCCTGCAGAACTGGATTCCACCTCATGGTCCTCTGTGGCTGCCCAAGGTGCAGCCATCACTTTGACATCCCAACTAACAGGAGGAAGCAAAGAAGGATATACAACACTTCTACCTTTATCCCAGTGGCCAAAACTTAATAAGATGGCCTATTCTAACTGCAAGGGAGGCTGGGAAATAGAGCGTATTCCAGATGAGCAGGAAATATTCAGGAGTTCTAATACTAAGGAAGCAGGGGAGAACAGATTGGGCATGTGGGGACAATGAGTTGTCTCTGCCATGAGCCGAGCTCAGAGAGCAGCACAAATAGGTCCATGGAAACGGGGAAAAATAAAGCCTCCTCAGGGAACCATCCACAGGGGATGAACTGGACCCTTCCAGAGCCAGGACACAGCACAGATAGGCAGTGGGTAAGGGGTACGAAAGAAGCCGGCTGTTCTCTGGGACCGATCCCCGGGCACAGGCAAGGAGACTCCACCAAGAAGCCATTTGTCTGCCTGCCCACGGCCCCCCAGATGCGGACGTGGTTCTTGACTACGCCTTTGGCTTCCTACCAGCTGACTTGTCCCCCTGTTCGCCTGCCCTCCAGCTCACCTCCCTCCCCTGTCCCTGCAGGGCTGGCTCCTCATGGACCCTGATAGCCTCCAGCTGGGCACCGAGCACCTGTGGAACTGGCTTGTGAGGCTGCTCAGCAAAGACTCAGGATGGCTGAATGCCAAGGTGAAGTTCTTCCTCCCCAAGATGGACGTGTGCTCCGGGGACAAGGCCCAGGATGCCACACAGGGGGTCGTTCTGCAGCTGAGAAGACTGCACGCTCAAGGCCGGGCCACGTGGCAGGCGTTCATCCACTGCGTGTGCATGGAGCTGGATGTGCCACTGGACCTCGAGGTGCTGCTGCTCAGTACCTGGGGCCACGGAGTCGGTAAGGGCAGGCGGGAGGGGCGCCGAGCAGCCGGCTGGCCCCTGTCACGGGGAGCCTGGGAGGCCCAGGGAGGGCCAGGATCCGCCTGAGTCACACGGGGGTGACGTGGTCAAGACAGGAGCAAAATTCTGTGTTTCTGAGCACTTCTCGAGTAAACTCCTGAGTTTCACCAAATCGGCTGGAGACCCAGAAGGCCCCTTCTTCCACCTTGCCTCACCCCAGGTGCCCAGAAAGGCTGGATACAAGGACAGAAAGGGCCAGTGTCCCATTCCAGCCAAGAAATTCCAGAGGGCCCATCATTCTTTTTTTTTTTTTTTTTTAAGATTTTTTATTTTTTTATTTGACAGACAGAGATCACAAGTAGGCAGAGAGGCAGGCAGAGAGAGGGGAGGGGAAGCAGGCTCCCTGCTGAGCAGAGAGCCCGATTCAGGGCTCAATCCCAGGACCCTCGGATCATGACCTGAGCCGAAGGCTGAGGCTTAACCCACTGAGCCACCCAGGTGCCCCTGGCCCATCATTCTTAACGTGGTCAGGAGCAGCCACGGGCAGAGCCCTCCGCCCCCTGCTGACGGGCACCCTTGTTCGGTTCTGGGCATGTTTCTTGGCAACTTCTACTTACACAGCATCGTGGGGAAACAGCACTGAGGGGCAGTGGTGTTCCTGGCGAGGAAGTGAGAACCCGCTTGGGGGCTCTAGCACGAGGCAGAGTGTAGGGAACGCAAGGGGGTTCACAGTGCATGCGTGTATAATCACACACGTGTGCACCAGCACACACGTGCACATGCCTAAACACACGTGCACATGTAGACATGCACACATGTACCTGTCCGTGTACAGACCTGCATGTACGCGCACATTTCTGCCCACAGCTGCCTTCCCTGGTCGGGCTGAGTGTAGACCTCACTTCTCTCCTGCTGGGGACCCGCCCTGACAGATGAGCCCTGAGCCAGACACCGGGCCACAGCCGGTCCTGGAGCTGGTCCCGGAGCATCCCCCCACATCCCCACAGTGTCTTCCATTTCCCCTCTCTTTCAGCGTTTCCCAGCCAGCTGGAGGCCGGTGAAGAAAGCCAGCCTGCCTCTCAGCTCCAGCACGGTGAGGCCCCGGGGTGCAGAGTAGGAGGGGGGGCAGTGAGGACACTGAGGCCCTACCTCGTGCCCTGAGGAGGCAGACGGTGGCTGGGGACAGACATTTCCCTTAAACCAGCCTCCTCATTCTCAGCGCATCTGCACGTATCCCCTCCCTGCTGACATGGATCCTAGGCGCCCGCGCCCCCACCCCCATCTCTCCCTCTGCAGCCCTGAAGGCTTTGGCCTGTCCTGGTACCTGTTCCCAGAGGTCTAAGCTGGAGTGTCCTGAGCAAGCAGGAAGGTGTCAGCCCTTGGGCAGTGCCGAGATCCCAGCCACGCTCACTAGGGGAGGCGTGTTCTCACCTTGTCCCCTAGCCTTGGGCTTCATCCTCCAAACCCACAGACTCAGGCCCCGCATCACTGAGATGCCCTGGGGCCTGATACTGACCCACAGACCACTGTCCACACCTTGGCAACCTCGGACTGATTTTCGGGTAGAACACAGAGAGGTCAGCGATCAAATGGTGACCACCTCAGGATTCATGGGCCAACTTCTTTTTTTTTATATAGTGGCAAAATATACATAACCATTTTTAAAGATTTTATGTATTTGAAACAGAGAGCGAGCTCAAGCAGTGGGGAGGGGCAGAGGGAGAGGAAGAAGCAAATTCCCCACTGAGCAGGGAGCCTGACCTGGGGCTCGATCCTAGGACGCTGAGATCATGACCTGAGCCGAAGGTAGACACTTAACTGACTGAGCCACCCAGGCGCCCCTATCTTAACCATTCTTAAGTGCACAGTTCGGTGGTATTAAATTCACTCTTGTGTGACCATCACCACCATCTATCTCCAGAACCCTTTTCATCTTGGAAAACTGAAACTCTGTCCCCACTGAACCATAGCTCTCCAGTCTCCTCTCCCCCAGCCCTGGGGAACCACCGTTTTACTTTCTGTCTTTATGATTTGACCACTCTCAGTAGCTTTTATAAGTGGAATCATCTTGTGACCGGCTCATTTCACTCAACATCTTGTCCCTTGTCCGTGTTGTAGCCGGTGTCAGGATTTCCTTCCTTTGTGAGGCTGATCAACGTTCCGTGGTCTGTGTACACCACCCTTGGCTTATCTATCCATCCACTGCTAAACTCTTGGATTGCTTCCACAGTTCAGCTCTTGTGAATAACGCTGCTATGAACATGGGTGAACAAATATTTCTTCAAAATACTGCTTTCAGTTCTTTTTGAGTATATCTCCAAAATCCAGGGTCATATGGCAATTCTATTTTTAAATTTTTTGAGGCACTTCCGTACTGTTTTCTCATCCTCAGCGCCATTTTGCCTTCTGACCAGCAGCGCACACGGGTTGTGATTACATCCTCGCCAGCCCTTGTTTTCTGATTTTTTAAAATATAGTAGCTATCGTGATGGGTGTGAGGTGGTATTGATCTCATTGTAATTTTGATTTGTATTTCCCTAATGATTGGTGGTGCTGAGTGTCTTTCATGTGCTTATTGCCCATTCTTATGCCTTCTTGGGAGCTGTGTCTCTTCAAGTTCTCTGTCCATTTTTTTAAACCACTTTGTTTGTTTTGCTGTTGTTGAGGTTAGGGGTTCTTTATATATTCTGGATACTAATCCCTTTTCAGATCTATGTTTTGCAGACCTCTCTCATTCTATAGGTTCTCTTTTTATATAGTGGTTAGTGTCTTCTGATGCACAAAATGTTTTTCACTTTCATCAAGCCCGTTTTGTTTTTTTTTTTCTTGTGTTCCCTGGGCCTTGATGCCATATCCAAGAAATCATTACCAAATCCAATGTTGTGAAGCTTTTGCCCCATGTTTTCTTCTAAGAGTTTTATTGCTAGGGGTCTTATATCTAGGTTCTTGATCCATTTTGAGTTAATTTTTGTATATGATGTTAAGAAAGGGTCCATCTTCATTCTTTTGTGTGTGGACACCCACTTTTCTCAGCACCATTTTTTGAAAAGATTGTCCATTCCGCATTAAAAGGATTTGACACCCTTGTCAAAAATTATTTGATCATAGATGTGAAGATTTCTTTCTGGGCTCTCTATTCTATTCCATTGGTCTATATATCTGTCTTTATGCCAGTTGCCACCCTATTTTGCTTACTGTAGCTCTGTAGTAAGCTTTGAAATCAGGAAGTATGAGTCTTCTAACTTTGTTCTTCTTAAGAGTTTGTGGCTGTTTGGGGTCCCTTGGGATTCCAGACGAATTTTAGGATCCATCTTCCTATATCTGCAGAAAAGGTCATTGGGATTTGACTGAAATTGTGTTGAATCTGTAGACTGTTTGGGGTAAGATTATGTTTGTTTTTTTTTTTTTTAAGATTTTATTTATTTATTTGACAGAGAAAGAGAGATCAGAGGTAGGTAGAGAGTCAGGCAAAGAGAGAGAGGGGGAAGCAGGCTCCCTGCTTAGCAGGGAGCCTGATGCGGGGCTTGATTCCAGGATCCTGAGATCATGACCTGAGCCGAAGGCAGAGGCTTAACCCACTGAGCCACGCAGGCGTCCCAGTGTTTTGTAGTTTTCATCATGCACGTTTTCCACTTTCTTGGTTAATGTTTAAACATTTTATTCTTTTGATGCTTTCGTAAAGGGAATTATTTTTGTAATTTCCCTTTTAGGTTGTTCATCTGTGCAGAAATGCAACTCGTTTTTGTATGTCTACTTTGTATCCTGCTACTTTGCTGAATTCATTTATTAGTTCCGAAAGCTCCTTTTGTGGAGTTTTTAAGGTTCTCTACATATATGACCCTATCCTCTGCAAACAGGTTTTACTTCTTCCTTTCCAATTTAGATGTCTTTTATGACTTTCTTGCCTAATTACTCTGGTTAGGACTTCAGTACTATGTTGAATAGAGGTGGTGAAAGCCGTTACCCTTGCCTTGTTCCCAATCTTAAAGGGAAAGCTTTCCATCTTTCACCGTTGTGTCTCAGGATGGCTGTGCACTCAGAACCTTTATTTCTATGGAAGTATGGGCTTTTTACCATCGCTGTGCATGGCAGTAACATCAACAGGCTTTAAGAGAAAACATCCACCCCATAATCCCAGCTCCCCAGCAGATCAAAACCATTTAGTCCTGGTCCCTTCTGGCCTGTACCATTGAGCTGGTGTAATTATCACATAGTTGTGACCAGACCTGAATGATGCTTAGCCAGTGGGTCCTTTATTAAGAGAGGACTTGGGGAATATTAAAATACCCTCAAACTGGTTCCAGTCCCTCTCAGGGGTCCCCAAATCTCCCTGCAGCCCAGCACTTTAACAGCCAACACCTGTCAGGGCGAGGGTCCTGCCCGGGGGCTGCTCTGACTGGTCACTGATGCCTGGCTGGGGGAATATCCCACTTTACTTCTTCACATTTTTCCCTAAATCCTCTTTCCTTTCTTCTTCCCCTCTGTTCTCTCTCCTCTTCCTTCTTGTTTTCCTTCTTCCTCTTCTCCTTTCCCAGCCTCTTCGGAAAGGCATTAAAGTATCTCTTTTTTTTTTTTTTTAAAGATTTTATTTATTTATTTGACAGAAATCACAAATAGGCAGAGAGGCAGGCAGAGAGAGAGGAGGAAGCAGGCTCCCTGTTGAGCAGAGAGCCCGATGTGGGGCTCGAACCCAGGATCTGGGATCATGACCTGAGCCGAAGGCAGCGGCTTAACCCACTGAGCCACCCAGGCGCCCCGGCATTAAAGTATCTCTTATGAATCCTCAAAACAGATAAGAATCTGAGAAACCAGTAAGGGAAGTGAGGAAACATGAGAGATGTGAAGTAAGAGTGATGAAACACACTGACCCCCGGGGGAGGGCGCAGACTTGGCCTAGCCCATTGAAAACCCCACTTTTCTAACCAGCAGTGGCCTCGACAGACCTCCATCTTTCCCAAGCCATTCAGTGGCCAAGGCTGAGTGTTTCTGAGGCTGCTGGCTGTGGGCCCAGCTCCCCGTATCCTGGACTTGGAGATCCACCATTCCAGAGCCTCTGAGTCTGTCACCCAGGCCTGGGACCCCCTTCTGCCAACAGAAGCTGGTGTTGATGATTCAACCTCTGCCCACGGCCTGCCTTTGCCTTTGCCCAGGCCTGCCTTTGCCACTGCCTTTTCAGTGACACTTGTCTGTTTGTGACCTGGAGCTCACCAAAGGTGCTTGGTGACCCCTCAGCCCAGGCCCCCAGACTTCACCCCTTACTCTTCTCTCATTCTTTCCAGGCCTCAAGCGGCCTCATCAGAGCTGTGGGTCCTCACCCCGCCCGAAGCAGTGCAAGAAGCAGCAGCTAGGTGGGTGCCAAGGTGGGGAAGGACCCAGACATCAGGACCTGCCCTGGGGCCAGGACACAGATCCTGGACTCCGTGCCCCGCTGATAAGCTCCCAGGAGCCCAACAACTCTGGTCTTCCTTCCAACAGAGATAGACTGGACGTCCTGGGTGGGCAGGGGAGAGGTGACCAGTATGACCTCAGACCTGGGGCCTTATTGGCCAGTTTAGAGATGGGTAGAATACCAGGGAGACCTCCCCCCGCCACAAGGCATGGGGGCTGCTGAGGACCGGCCAGGCCAGAGGGAGTAGAGTAGACAGAACTTCAGTCACTCTCCACCCATTGTCCAGAAGAATCCTTGTTCTCAACCAGCTGTCCCCAGCATCCCCTGACAGTGGCCCTAGTTCTTCCCCTGGACCACCCATGCTTTCCCGGGGAGCCAACAATTAAAAAGTCAATGCCCGGCATAGTAAGGGCCCAGCTTCCAGTGCCTAGGCCTACAGGTGGCTAGCCCTCACCCCTGGGGAATCGCAAAACTGAAATATTGGGTGGGGAAGAGGCTACTCAGATACAGAAGATGTTGCAATGGGAGCCCCCCTCTTCCCTTCCCCCATCTCACCAACAACTTTACACCATCTATATTGTTACAAAACAAACAGAGCCATGATCTGCGCTCCCCCAGCCGGACTTCTCCATTTGAATGGCCCCCAGAATCAAGGCTTCTGTGGAACTAGGAACCAGGAACTGGGGAACCAGTTCCTTCTAGGAATTATGTGCTCTTGCCAATCCCCATGCCCTTGCACACACAGCTGAGGCTACGGGCTCCCAACAGCCAGTGCTAGGGTGAGGGGATCTGGGGGTGGGAGGCCCCCCGCACTCATGCCTTGCCCTGCCCCCTGCAGAGTTGGCCCAGAGGTACCTGCAGCTACTGAAGACTTCCACCCAGCAACGCTATGGCAGTAAGATCCCTGGGCCAGGGCAACCCCTAGCCTTCCACCAGGCCTACATCCCCCCAATCCTGCAGTGGAGCCGGACCCCGGCACCCTTCCGCACCCAGGAGGGGATGGCGCCGGGGGACCCCAAGGCAGAAGATGGCACGGACGTGACCATCCGGGACCTCTTCAGCACCAGGGCCGACAAGGGCCTGAGGGTGACCGTGCTCCTGGGGAAAGCGGGCATGGGCAAGACCACCCTGGCCCACTGGCTCTGCCAGAGGTGGGCTGATGGCCAGCTAGACCGCTTCCAGGCCCTGTTTCTTTTTGAGTTCCGCCAGCTCAACCTGATCACACGTCTCCTGACGCTGCCCCAGCTCCTTTTCGACCTGTACCTGAGCCCTGAGGCAGGCTCCGACTTGGTCTTCCAGTACCTGGAGGAGAATGCTAATGGAGTCCTGCTCATCTTTGATGGACTGGACCAGGCCCTGCATCCCCGCTCCAACAGAGGGCAGGCAGGTCCTGAGGACCCAAGTCCGGCCCTTGCCCTCTTCTCCCGCCTCTGCCGGGGGACCCTGCTGCCCGGCTGCTGGGTATTGGCCACCTCCCGCCCAGGGAAGCTGCCCGACTGCCTGCCTGCAGAGGCAGCCACAGTCCACATGTGGGGCTTTGACAGGCCGCGGGTGGAGGAGTACGTGGGCCGCTTCTTCCCGGACCAGCCGGGGCAGGAGGCAGCCCTGGCGGAGCTGCGGGGCAGCAGACACCTCCAGAGCTTGTGCGCCGTGCCCGCGCTCTGCCAGGTCACCTGCCTCTGCCTCCTCCATCTGCTCCCAGGCAGCCCGCCAGGCCAGTCTGCGGCCCTCCTGCCCACCGTGACTCAGAACTACGTGCAGATGCTGTCCACCCTCGGCCCCCGTGGGTACCTGCCTCCCGAGGTCCTGCTGGAGCTCAGTGAGGTGGCCCTGGGCGGCCTGCAGACCGGGAAGGTCATCTTCTCTGTAGGAGACATCCGCCCGCCCACAATGGCCTTTGCAGCTGCCCTCAGTTTGCTGACCTCGTTCTGCATCTGCACGGGCCCGGGGCACCGGGACACAGGCTACGCCTTCACCCACCTCAGCCTACAGGAGTTTTTTGCTGCCTTGTACCTGGTGGCCAGCCCCAAGGTGGACAGAAATGCACTTGCCGGCCACGTCACCCTCAGTTCTTGCTGGGTGCTGCGGACCAAAGCTAGTCTGGGCCTCCTAGACCACCTCCCCACCTTCCTGGCGGGGCTAGCGTCCCGCGCCTGCCGACCCTTCCTCAGCCTCGTGGCCCAGCGGGACGAGATGTGGGTGAGTGCCAGGCAGGCTGTGGTGATGCAAGCCTTGAGGAAGTTGGCCACCCGCAGGCTCACGGGGCCGAAGATTGTGGCGCTCTGTCACTGCGTGGGTGAGACCCAGGAGCCTGAGCTGGCCGGTCTCATGGCCCAGAGTCTCCCCTGTCACCTCTCCTTCCACAATTTCCCACTGACCTACGCCGACCTGGCTGCCCTGACCAGCATCTTGGGGCACAGGAATGCCCCCATCCACCTGGATTTTGAGGGCTGCCCTCTGGAGCCCCACTGCCCTGAGGCCCTGGTGGGCTGTGAGCAGGTCGAAAATCTCAGGTGAGAGTAGGATCAGGGGAGGACAGGGGAAGCCCTGTGAGGGACCTGGGCTTGGGGAGGATGGAGTCGGTCAGACCCTTGCCAAGGGAGGCTGGGCACAGATCTCGAACATGAGGACAGAGTCCAAACTGCCCCTCGACCTGAGAGCCAGTGCAGAAGCTCCCTTCCTCCTGAGACCTTAGGGTCCAGGTTTCCTTGCGGTTGCTGGGAATCTGCTGACTCTCCCTGTCCCTCTTAGCCATGGACTGGAGCCTCTGACTCCAGAGGTGGTCTGACTTTGGGCAGGTTACTTAACCTCGAAGCCTGAGTTTCTTTGTCCCTAAAATGAATCAGTAATAATACCAACTCCATGAGGTTATTGTGAGAGCCTGGTAAGAGAATGCCAGGAAAACCCTCCTTAGCAGGCGCCTAGTGCACAGTAAAGGCTCAGTATGTGTAGCAGGAGCGAGAGAAAAGGTGAAGCTCAGAGAACCCACCCCCCAGTACAGTGAGTGAAGTAATGTTGAATTTTGTTTGCATGTCATGGAATGCTCAGAGGTATGCGGTCCAGATCTCTGAGCTGGCTGAGCTCCATGTGGTCATGCAGGGACCCAGGCCCCTCCCCCTGATGCTCCATCATCCCCTTGGGCATCTAGATCTGCATGGTCAAACCCGGGTCATGGGCATCTCTGCTCCGGCTTCGGGGAAGGGAAGGGAGAGTGCATTAGATGCACCCAGTATGTTAAAGCCTGCATACTTGGAGATGGGACATGTCCCTTCGGCTCACCTTACAGTGGCGAAAACATATCTGCATAGCCACTCTGAGCTGCACGGGAGGCTGGAAATGTGAGTGGGAAACTGTTCCCAGTTAGAGCTGCATCTGTGAAGAATGGGTTTCCGTGGGCAGTTAGCAGTCTTTGCCATACTACGTGTTTCTTATTTCTACAAACAACAGCTCCTGCTACTACTATTAACGTCACCATTCAGTTCCATCTGGCAGAGGAAGGGGTGGGAGTGATGGCTTCTAAGCCCTGCCCAGCACTGAGGCTCTGCCATCTTACCTCTTCCTGTGGCAGCTTTAAGAGCAGGAAGTGTGGGGATGCTTTTGCCGAAGCCCTTTCCAGGAGCCTGCCGACAATGGGGAGCCTGAAGAAGCTGGGGTGAGCCAGGGCTTGGGTCCTAGAGGGATCCTCAGCTGGAAATGCCTGGAACTCTCCCCTCTCCCTTTGACCCTGCACAAGGCAGATTCCTGGCCTACCCCCTTTCCCACCCCCATTCTTGCCCACCACGTTTGCTTACCCTGTAGGTTAGTAGGAAGTAAGATCACTGCCCGAGGCATCAGCCACCTGGTGCAGGCTCTGCGCCTCTGTCCACAGCTGGAAGAGATCAGGTGAGTGATCTCCAGGTAGACTAGCTGGCTAGGGGGACAAGTTATTTCCCAGGTCCCTGGGCTTCCCACCCCAACCCCAGAGCCTGTAATGAGTCCTGCATTTTCCATCAGGAGTTGGCCTGTTTTTCAGTGGGACCCAGAGAGGGGGAGGCTTTGGTCCAAAAACGGGGTGGGGCTAGATCCAGACACAAGGCTCCCCAAAACCCTGGAGCACTGCTTCCTTCATCTAATAGTTGGGGCTGTCTCAAAGGACCTTGAGTTTTGAAGCCCTCCTTCTCTTTCTGTGACCTTGAGAGAAGGGATGGCTGTGTGTAGGCAGGTGTCAGGCACAATGGGTCCACACAAGTGCATGAAACACACACATACCTTCACACTTGTGCACATATGTGTTCACACGTGCACTCACCTGCTCACTTAAATACATTCCCCTCACATGCACATTCATAGCTGTGTGCACACTTGTGCATACTTAGAGCCACATACCCATTTAGTTGCAACTTACATGCTAACTGATCACATCTCTGCAGATATCGTCCTGCCCTGTGTTTGCGATGAGTAGCCCAGGAGGGGTGGGGCTGGGGAGCATTCTCAAGAGCTCATGGGCAGAACCACCACGAGCTTATATGGCACCTTTAGGAGATTTAGAAGGGCACCCTTTTGTCCAGACCCATGCAACCTGGCACTAAGTCATCCCACTTACTGAGTGGAGTGTTAGCTGGACCACAGCTCCTGGGTGCCTCAGCTGGGTGCCTTTCTGTGGGATCACCGGCTGGCAGGAGAAAAGACAAAGGTCACTGTTAATAATCAGGAGGTAAAAAAGTGTCAACAGGTTCACATTCCTAAACCTTTGCACTAACCAGAGCAATCATGCACAAAAGGACCCTCGCACTTCTGTTCCTTTGGCTAGGAACTCAGGCAAGGCTGGATTGGAGACTCCATTTGACAGATGGGGAATGTGAGGTCAGAAAGAAAGTGCTTGGCCTAAGGTTCTGGGTGAGTCAAGGCCAGAGCTGGGGCTGGAAGCAGCATCTCCTGTATCCCAGTCTAGACTCCACTTATCACCCAAGAGCCAGAAGGCCCTGATAAACTCTGGCCTCAGGCACATCCCAGACGTATCCCTAAGAGCAGTGTTCTGGGTGTCCTCATCCCACCTCATGAGGCCTTCACAGCCCGTTATCCGGATCTCTTGGGCCATTAGGCAGGAAGTCCCCCTTGGGGCTGAATAGGGACAGACGTGAGGACAGCAGAGGGCCTCTCCTAGCTGGGCCTACTGGGTACTGTGGAGCAGGTCACCAACATATTGTGGGCCTATGACGGGGCAGCCATGTCACCTGCCAACTGGGGCCCCCAAGTCCCCCAGCTCCATGGCTGAGGGGCCGGGGGCTCTCAGCTTTCAGGACAACCAGCTCAAGGACTGGGCTGTGCTGAACATCGTGGAGGTACTTCCTTGTTTGCCACAGCTTCGGAAGCTTGAGTAAGCAATCTTTCCAACCCCTGCCTGAGCCCCTCACCCCCGGCCTGGGAAAGCAAAGAAAGTCTGGGGCCCCTTGGATATAGGATCCACTCCTGATACCCTCGCCACAATCTTGCAGCCTGAGCCGCAACAATGTCTCCATGTCAACACTACTCTGCTTGACAAAGGTAGCAGTCGAATGCCCTACTGTCAGGACCCTGCAGGTCAGGTGAGCAAAAGAGGTGGAATCTGGGCCTTCAGAGGCTTGAGAAAAGGGGAGGGGAATGTAGGGAGTGGGAAATGCAGCACCATGTCTGCAATACGTACGCATGTGGACCTGAATCTCTTTTATTCACTTCAGTATCTCCAGAGCCCAGCTCAGGACTGGCACCTGGTACTCAGTATATAGTGGCTGAGCAGAACGATGCATGGATAGATGGGCGAACGGTTGAAGGAGTGGGTCAGCACATCTAGGAAGCGTAGTTTTAGCTGGGGAATCCTGAGCCCCGTGTGTCGCTCTCCATGGTGCTGAACTGGGGGGTTTCCCCGTTCAGATTACGGAGTGGGTCAAGTGCCATTGCTCTTTACCCTAAAATACGGTAACTCCCACAAAAACTCTTTGCATTCCTAATTTCAAAACTCCTCTCTGTAAATATTGTTTTCCTCACCTTTAAAAATACTCTCTCGGATTCATCAAGCAACGACAGTCACAAATTTTACTTGTCTGATTTGGGGCATTTCTGCCAGTTGTTTCTCTGTTGGTTATAATAAATTAGACTTTCTCTGGATGTCTGGGGCTGCAAGGGGAGTGCAGGTAGTGGGTGATGTGCTGCTTTCCAGTCCACCGGTTTCATGGCTCAGTGTCTGACTCTTGCAGGGAGGCAGACCTCATCTTCCTTCTTTCCCCGCCCACAAAGACTGCTGCAGAGCTTCAAGGGTAAGAACCTAGAGAGGCGGTGGGTCTGGGCTCATTCCAAGGAGCAGTCTGGGCTCAACTATTGGCAGGGTAAGATGGCCAAGAGAGCCTATGAAGAGCTGGAATGTGGGGCTGCCCTGAGAAATACCTTTCTTCTCAAAGTTGACAAAGGACTTTACCTTCCTCTAGCATATCTGGACCACATCTGGTCCCTGTGCTGGAGGGAGCATCCCCAGAAATCTCAGGCAAGGCCCTTAGGGAAGGCATGACTATAGATTGGTGTTAGTATGTGGGAAAAGCTCTGGAAAATTCTTCCATCTAAAAAAAAGTGGGGGGGGAGGAGAAATGGTGATACCCACATCTCCGAGTACTCTGAGGATGAAATGAATTAATATACCGAAAGTGCTTAAAACACCGCTGACATCCCGGTGGCACTCAGATGCTGGCTCATCCAGCTGTGCATGGATTCCAGTTTGGCTGGTCCTGCATGGGCAAAGAAAGGGAAGCAGCCTTTCTGTGAGAGAACATTCCAACTGGGCTTTCTCTCACTCCTCCTCGGCTGACCAAGACTCACAGACAGATGATGCTGTATGTCCCTGGGCAAGTCCTTTCCCTGCTCCAATCTTCCGTTTCCTCGCCCATACAATGATCTAGTCGGACCAGTATCTTTTTCCCCTCTGGCTCTATGGAGCTGAGATACCCAGTATGGTAGCCACTAGCCACATGTGGCTATTTAAGTATATATTAATTAAAATTAAGTAAAATGAACATTTTAAGTTTATCAGCCACATTAGCCGCATTCCAGGGACTCAATGACCATGGGAGATTAGTGTCTCCCACAGTGGATGGCGCAGATATAAAACATTCTCTTCATTGTGGAAAGTTTTGTCAGATGGTGCCAATCTAGAGGTCTGCGAAAACCTGGCCAGTAACATGCCAGCTTGTCTGCAGCCCCCACTCGTCCCCTGGCCCAGTGGGAGAGAGCCTGGAGGTGGCACAGCCTGGACCCACACACAGTCCGTGCTCCCAGCCGTTAGAACCACAGGTGGCACGTGTACAAATAGCTTCACAACATAGAAATAGCAACTTCTTTTTGCTGAGCTTCAATTCTGTGCCTGTTCTGGGTGCTTGGCCGAACATTGTCTCATTTTCAGTCCTTCAATCATTGTGTGTTAGAGATTGTCATCCCATCTTGGAAAAGAGACCACGGAAGCTCCAAGCTCCAATAGGGGAAGTGACTTGCCCAAGGCCACACAGCTCTGGCAGAGCCAGAATTTGAATAAAGTCTATTTGCCCTCAAACATTTTGCTCTGGCTGCTGCTGAATAGCACCTTTAGCTCCTCCAAACAACCATCTTTGTTACTCATTCCTTGTGGGTGGTGCCCTGGGCTCTTCAGGCCTGGAACCCAAGATAAGAGGTTTGGCCCTTCAGGCCCTGGACTCTAAGACAAGGCCACTGTTGGATTTGTTCTTGCCAGAGCGCCAGACCTGCAGGGAAATGCTGGCCAGAGAGAAGCGGCTCAGAGTAGAAGCCTGACACTCAGGTACCTCTGTGGGCTCCATTGCCTTAAGGGGAGGGGTATGGTAGGGGGGTGGGGGAGGGTGCCTTCCTAGGAGAGGCATAGCAGGGGCGAGGATGCTAAAAGGAAAAACAGCCATGGGGCAGATAAAGGACCTGAATAACCCATCCTGGCCTGAATAAGGAACTTCTGTCATAACGGCAATAATTACAACTAATTTAATGGGCCCTTGCTACACGCTGGGCACTGTAGTATTTGATATCCTTTTCTCACTGTAATTCTTTTGAAAACCCTGCCAAGTATACTTTATTATTCCTATTTGATAGAGAAGGAAAGTGAGGTTAAGGGCCTTGTCCAAGGTTGTCCAGTTACTAAGAAGCAGGACCAGGATGAGACCCTCGGTCTGACTGCCTCCTGACTCCCCCGGCTCCCACTCCCGGCAGTGGCCCTTGGGGCCGGAGGAGGTGTGGTGTAGCTTCTTGCCCTGAGCGCCCCCGCATCTGCCCTCACTCCAGGCTCCAGCAGTGTCAGCTCAGGGTCCATGAGGCACAGGAGCTCATAGTCCAGCTCCAGGAAGGCCCCCGCCTGGACAAAGTGGAGTGAGTATTACAGAAAGTGCTGGGGTGGGAGATGGGTGGGGGGCAGGGCACTGTCTGAAGGGCCTCCACTTTGGGCGTATGATGTAAGGAAGGGCATGCTGCCTCATTAAGAATCTGGGGAGGGGCGCCTGGGTGGCTCAGTGGGTTAAGCCTCTGCCTTCGGCTCAGGTCAGGTCATGATCTCAGGGTGCTGGGATAGAGCCCCGCATCAGGCTCTCTGCTTGGCGGGGAGCCTGCTTCCCCCTCTCTCTCTGCCTGCCTCTCTTCCTACTTGTGATCTCTCTGTCTGTGTCAAATAAATAAAATCTTAAAAAAAAAAAAAAAGAACCTGGGGAACTCAGACCACCATAGCAGCTACCACTGTTCAGCACTTGCCCTCGACCAGGCTTTTTTGCGTACATCCTCTCATTTGATTTTACCGTCTCTGAGATGTGTAAGTATTACTACTATGCACACTTCATGGAGGAGAAAATTCAACCACACAGAGGCTAAGTTTGCTCAAGGTCACACAGCTAGGAAGAGTCCAGGCCAGGGTTCAAGCTCAGACAGTCTGACTCCCACCAGCCTCGTCCTTGTCACCGGTGTCATTGAGAGCTGAAAAGTAGAGACCTCATCACATGTGTCTTCCAAACCACAGCCCTCAGGGTCCCCTTCCCCGTCGTCCTCCCAGAGTACAATGAGATCACCTTCCCTTTTGGGGCTGTAGAAGTTCCGTTAATGCCTAGCTCCTTTGAGAGTAGGGCTTGGGGATTGGTAGAGGCCTTGTCATGTCCCCAGGACCAGGGACCCTTGCTAGGACTATCCCAGGAAATCAAATGGGCATGAGGGTGGACTGATGGAATGCTGTAAGGTGGTGTGAGGAGAGCAGCCCCAACCTAGGGAAGGATGAATGGGTGAGGACCTTGGTAACTAGAGCTTGAACCTTGACCTTGTCCCACTGAGAGAAGCAAGAGAGGATTAGAAGTTTTTGCAAAACACAGGATATCACCAAGCCTGAGCCTCCCCCGCACCTGCCCTGGTGCTTTCACCTGCAGTATGGCCCCATCACCCACCTGGCTACCCAGACCAGGCATCTCTCAGCTCCTGCACCCTCCCCCAGAGCCAGCCCATCCCACATCCACCCACCACTTACATAGCTCTCAACACCACCCTCTTTTCATCCACTTCCCCCGTCCAAACCACTCTCACTCCTCACCTGGATGACCCATCAGCCTCCTCACTGGGTTCCCTGCTTCGACACTGGCCACTTCCATGTAGCAAAGAGTGACCTGCATTTCACTGCTGCCTGCCCCCCCTTTACGCCTTCCCACTGCTCGTGGTGAAGCCCAAATCCTAAAATCCTGTGTGATCCAAAATGCTGCCTCCAGCCCACCAATCCCCATCTGACCCTGTCCTGTCATTGAGATCTTCAGTCCTACACAGTGTCTTCCTTTCAGCTCCTCCAGTGGGCTATGCCCCAGGACCTTTGAATGAGCTGCTCCTAATACCAGGAACATCTTTCCCCCATCTCTGTCCCACCCCTTACCTACTGAGCTCCTGGTGTTTCAAGCAAGTAGTTCCAACATCAGGGAAACCTTCCCTGATGCCCATGGTAGATCTGATGCCCCTAAAATCATGGAGTTTATCATAAGAAGCAATTACGCAGGTTGGAGCATAAAAAAGCAGCTGGGGTGGGGCCTTGAAATTAGGCTGCCTGGGTTCAAACCCCAGGTCCACCTTTCAGGAGGTGCTTTAACCTCTGTCTACCTCGATTTGCTCATCAGTAAGATGAGGATAGTAACAGGGCCTGCCCCACAGGGTCCTTATGAGGATGAAATGTCCAGCAATGGTAGAAGCAACCGGACCGGGCGCCTGGGTGGCTCAGTGGGTTAAAGCCTCTGCCTTCGGCTCAGGTCATGATCTCAGGGTCCTGGGATTGAGTCCTGCATCGGGCTCTGCTCAGCAGGGAGCCTGCTTCCCTCTCTCTCTCTGCCTGCCTCTCTGTCTACTTGTGATCTCTGTCAAATAAATAAATAAAATCTTTAAAAAAAAAAAAAAAAAGCAACCGGACCAGTTGGGACTCTTCATACACAGCCTTGCAGTATCTATCATTATTAGGACTCATTTACCAGAGTGCTGCTTTGCCTAAAGTCAAGGAGGGACTGTGCGAGTGCTAAGGCCGAAGGGGGGGACCCCGCCCCAACGGCACAAGGCATGGGGACCCCTCTGTCTCAGCCTTTCAGGAAACCAGCTGGACGATGAGGGCTGTCGACTGATGGCAGAGGCTGCCTCTCAGCTGCACATCGCCAGGAGTCTGGAGTGAGTCACCGGCGTCACTGCTGGGTGGCGGGGGGTTGGGGGGAGTCCCGGAGAGAGCCCCAGCTAGACCCTGGCACCCCGGTCTGCACACCTGCAGTGGCCAAAGATAGTGCTGCTCCACTGACCTGCTCTCCCGCAACAGCAGCAAAGCTGGAGCGGAGTCTGCCCATGACTTGCCTTTGCCTCTGGCAGGAGCCCCTGTCTGGGTTCCAACAACTAAAACCCCTGGTGTGCGTAGAGCGGTTTCCTTGTACTTCAATGGCTAGTGCTCCAGTTCCTCCTTGCAACAGCCCTGGGGCGGGGTGGGTGTTGTACTGTGTGTTGCATTAGGGTTCGGGGTGGGTGGGTTTTAGGGTGTTGGAGTGTGAAGAGGCGTGTTAGGGTGGGGCTACGGTGCCAAATTAAGGGGTGGGTTGTTGGGGTGCTGGGATGGAAAGAAAGGGTCGTGGGCGGCTGGATGTGCTGTGGTGTCCCACGGTATCGGGTGGGGTGGGGTTTGGGTGGGGTGTGTTGAGGTCTTAGCATCCAGCGTGGGTCGGGTAGGGGAATAATGAGGTTGAGTAACAGTGGTTTGGGGTCTTGCCTTAGGAGTTCAGTCCTGACTCTGTCCCTTAGTAGCCTCAACATCATTTAATGTCTCTGGGCCTCAGTTTCTCCATTTGTAAAACGGGATGAAAATGGTGGTGATTTTTCAGACCAGGAGGCAGACCCAGAGAGGTGAAAACAGTGAGTCAGTTCTTCCCACTCAAGCTGTGGAATCTTGTTCTCTGAGTGGGGCAGCGAGGTCCTGAAGCTCTTGGCTCATTCACATGGGCCAGGATCCTTCAAGACACCCTGGTTAAGGACCCAGGACATCCTAAGAGTGACTAGCCAGCCAGCTACTGCACCAGGAGGAGGGGACTGGAGCCGTCTAGGCCTGGGGACTTGAGCTGCCTGCTGACTGCCACCTCCCCCTCCTCTCCACAGCCTCAGCGACAACGGGCTCTCTGTGGATGGAGTATACTGTGTGCTGAGTGCGGCGAGCATGTGCCGGACCCTGGCAGAGCTACACATCAGGTAGGGCCTCCCAGTGGACCCCAGTCACCCACTCCTCCCTCAAGCCTGGAGCTCTGGGGCTCTCCCACCATCCTCTTTTAGACCTTAGCATTCTTTCCGGGCCCAGGCCTTTGGGACCTGGAGGAGATGCTGCTGGTGCCCCGCCACACCCTCTTTTCCCAGCTGCTATGAATTGGCTGCTTACAGCTTAGACCTTCTCCAGGAAACTACCTTGGGCTAATAGGAGCCACAGATGACACCTGGCCGGTTGTCCTCCCAGTTCCCCCGACCAAGAGTGGCCAATGACAGAGCCAGGGGCATCACTCTCTAGCCCCCTTGCCGCAGGTGGGACAAACCTTTGGTGCCCTTTACGCTCCAGAGCTCCCTGTGGGATCAGGCTGAGGACCTGCTCTGTTCTGCTTCCCTTGGTCCCTTACCAGCTTCTCCTGAGAGCAGGCCCCCAGGACATCACAGACAGAAATGATCAGGTGAGGCTTGGCCCTCTACCCCATTCGGAGGCTCAGGCTCTGCTTCTAGGAAACCTGACCCGAGGCAGTGCCCAGCCTTACCTTATTTCTGTAAGTCTCCGGATTCAGTCTGGGGAGCTGAGGCCAGGTGCTATTACAATGCAATCCCCACCCCAAGGGGCTCCTAACCAAGTAGGGTGGTCCCTGCTTTAAACGCCCCTTGAAGGAGGAGAGAGACACCGATTAACCCAAAAGAGAGATGAGGGGACCCTGATTCACTGTATGTAAAGATCCAATAAAGGATCCTCACCTCGTCCCAAATGGTGCTCCGCTCATTTCTAGGGATTTACACTAAAGAAGTCAACTGGTGCAAACACATTTAGATACAGGAATGTTCACCTCACTGTTGGTTATAATAGGAGACAATGAACATGCCTTAAATATGTAGCCATTAGGTAGGAGGTAAGTAAACTGAGTTACCTTCATAGAGAAAAACTCAATGAAAATGATGATATAGCTACAGTCTTAGTCTAGAGGGATGACTGTGGTATAACTTTAATTCACCATTTCTATAGTAAAGCTTCTGAAACATACTCACAAGAATGGCCAACACTCCAGCTCGCACCAATAATTATCAACGTTTTGTCACCCTTGTTTCACCTATCCCTTGAAAAACTACTTTTTAAATACGAATCTGTCCTTTAATCCTATTGATTAAGAAGAAGAAAAAAAGGAAGAGCATTCATTGCATTTTAAAAACAAAAGACTTTAAGACCCCATTCCCAAATGTTATCAGCGGAAGAGGTGGTGGGTGATTTTTCTTGATTTTCTTCTTTCTTTACTTTAATTTGAAAGTTCTCCACATGGAAGAAGTATGAGCTCTGCAATGAGCAATGTGTATTCAGGGGCGCTTGGGTGGCTCAGTCGATTAAGCCTCTGCCTTCAGCTTAGGTCATGATCCCAGGGTTCTGGGATCGAGCCCTGCATCAGGGTCCCCACTCAGCGGGGAGTCTGCTTCTTCTTCTCCCTCTGCCCCTCCCCCTTCTTGTGTTCTCTCTCACTGTCTCGCAAATAAACATAAACACATAAAATCTTTAAAAAGGAAGGGAGGAAGGAAGGAAGGAAGGAAAGAAAAGAAAGAAATGTGTATTTAACAGTCCATTTACACAGTCGAGGTTAGAGATGCTCCTGCTGTACGTTACAGCCCCGTGTGCACTGTCAGCACCTGTCCTGGAGCTGGCAGTGACCTCTGGCAGTGACCTCCCTGTGCTGGGTTGAGGGCCCTCACCTGAGGGTTCACACAGCAGAGGGAGGAGGGTTTCAGCCTGAGGCAGAGAAAAGGCAGAACTGAAGTTTTCTTTCAAGGGCTTTCCAGGAAACGAGGGCTGGTTAAGTTTGCAAAATCTCTGTGGTAGAAAGATTCCAGGTGCCCAGAAGCTCAGAAGTCACCGCAGAGTCAGGGGAGATGGCCTCGGCTAGAGGCCGGGGATGGCGCCTTTGAGGTCCCTCCGGGCCGGGTTAGAAAATGGCCCCAGGACCCCCTTCAGCCTCTTGTCTCCTTCCTGTCTTCTCTCTTGGCAGCCTGCTGCACAAAACTGTGGTCTTCACGTTTGCCCCAGAGCAGGAGGAGCAGAAGGGGAGCTGGGACAGGTAGGGCCGCACATCATCCGGGCCCTGTCCTGAGCCAGGCCCAGACCCTCCCCGACCTCCACAGCTGGACAGCATCACTCAGCTCACAGGGGACCGAGACAGACTCACAAAGGAGCAGGAAGCCAGCAGGCTTGGCAAGGGATGCAGCCCAGAGGAGGGGAGTGTCAGAGGACCGACTGCCCCCCCCCATTTCCCTGTGACGCGGAATGGCCTCCTGGGGGGGGGGGTAGCCAGGGAGCCTTTCGCCAGACACCGAGGCCCTCGGGCATAAACCCCAAGGATCTGCAGATCGCTTGGCCCGTAGCTCTGATTTTGGTCAGGACCTTCTGGCTCCCTCTGGCCCATGCCATGTTAAAGCCATGTCCGTACCTTGTCCCAGCGAGAGGCTGCAAGATTTATCCCGGGTCACACAGCTGGGACGCCAAGAACCCCGGGGGGAAGCAGGGTCTCCAGGTCTCGGGTGAAGACTGAACGGTGGGTGGTAAGGCTGAGGCCAGAGACTGGCTGGGAGTGTGCTCAGCCCGGCCGTGGTGTGTGTCCCTCCAGGACTGCGCTGCCGGTCAGCCTGGCGTGCCAGATGCCATCCGAGCCGCCCCCGCGCCCCACGGCGATCAGGTACAGAGACGGCCTTCCTCTTCCTCTGCTCAAAGCCTGTCACAGGCCTCCAGCCCCAGGGGCTCCCTGGAGGAGACAACCTGCCTGTCCAGGAGTTGTGGCCTGGCTTCCCTGCCTCCCACCTTCCCCACCTGGGGGCCTCCCACTTGTCTTAGCTCCCCTGGCCTCCACCAGCTGATGGGTGGTGGGGACTCTGGATGGAGAGAATGAGGACATGTGTCACATGCTTTCCTCATCCTGGGGCTGAGCTCAGCCCCTACAGGGCTCCTGTCCATGTTCTGGCTTCTCACTTACTCTGTGTCCATCTGAATCTGTCTGTCTGTCTGTCTGTCTCTGTTGTTCCTTATTTCTCTTGTATTTTCTGTTTCTCTGTCTTTGCTTGCTGCCCCTTCTGTCATTGTCTGTCTGTCCTCCCCTGGTGCTGTGTGTGCAGGTGTGTGTGCATGTGTGTGTAGGTGTATGTTCGCGGATGCATGTGTAGGTGCGTGTGTGTAGGTGCACGTGTGTGGGTACCTGTGTGTAGGTACGTGTGTGTGCGTGTAGGTGCACATCCCTATGTATGCCTGCGTGCATAAGCACACAAGCGTGCATGCGTGTCTGTGTGTCTGCATCTGTCTCTGCTGTCTCTCATCTCGGTGTCTCTCCATCTTGGTCTCCCTGTGTCTCTGACTGGCTCTCAGCTGCCTGTGCAATCGTGGGTGTGTGCTGTGTGCTGGTGCGTCTCCGTCTCTCTGGATGCCAGACGCGTCCCTGTCCCTCTTCTTCAAGCCTCTCTGCCTGCATACCTGGAGGCGGTGGCCGCTGTTGCCTCTGTTCTAAGGGGCCGCCCTTCCTCCTCTGCAGGCTAACACACTGCGGCTTGCAGGCCAAGCACCTAGAGCAGCTCTGCAGGGCGCTGAGAGGAAGCTGCCACCTCAGTCAGCTGGAGTGAGTGGCGGCTGCTGGGGGGTTGGGGTGGGGCTCACAGGCGGCAGGTGTTTGCCTGTGTGGTTTTGTTTTGACTTTTTTAAAGATTGTGATCAGCGGTGTTTCCCTGCTGCAATCAGGAACCCCTAAAGGAGTCCAGGCAGGGTTGTAGCCCTTCCGCCTAAAACATAGGTCCCCACATATGACCCCCTCTGAAGCCCCTCCCTGACCCCCCAAGGGTTACGAGCCTCAGGATGGAAGTTGGGTAGGAGGGAAACTCCAGCAGACCGGTGAGAGATCTGCTGAGACCTGGCCTGGTTGTCCAGGGCCCTGTGCCAGTTTCATGAGAGGCAGAGTGACTGAGCCACAGAGGTGGAGACACAGAGCTCCTACAGCCGGGTGTGTTCACCCTCCGCTAACCAGCTTTCGCTGTTGCCCCTCCCAGCTTCTCAGGCAACGCTCTGGGAGACGAAGGCGTGGCCCAGCTGGCTCAGCTCCTCCCAGGGCTGGGAGCTCTGCAGTCCTTGGAGTAAGTAGCCAACTAGATGAAGCCTCTAGGCTTGTCCTCATCGGGAGGAGGGGGGGGGGGTGGTGTGTGTGTGTGTGTGTGTCCTTCTGTGTCCAGTCTCATTCCTTCCTGGGGGTTTTGTAAAGATTGAATCAGAAAACACACGTCAATCACCCAGTCCCGTCCCTGGCACATGGGAAGTGCTCACAGAGGGTAGTTTGCTGTGGCGAGTCTCAGGAAGAGAGATTGGCCTCTGGGACTCAGTGATCCAGCTGCCGATCTAAGGTTTTACTTCCTGAACCTGACTTTGTGGCTCTGCACAGGCTCTCTGGGAGGCCCAGGCCACCTGGGACTATGCGAGCTTGGGTGGGAAGCATTAGCTAACGGTTAGTTAGCTACCCTAATGACTGGCAGCCCTTCTGGGCCTGCGTTGCTGGGGGGGGGGGGGCTGTTGCTAGGCTACAGGCTGGCTGGGGAGGATGTGTACCAGACAGGACGCCCCGGCAGGATGCTCAGGCCAGCTGGAGAGCAGAGAAGGGGGAGATGTTCAGTGCAGGCGGGAAGCCCCGGGAGGTGACCAGGAGCCTCCAGACTTTGCCTGCAACAGACCAGAGTTTCCGGATGCTAGAAGGCCCCTGTGTTTTGGGCTCCCACATATCCTTCTCCTCCTTCTAAGTTCTTCGGGGCTGAAGTCAGAGGAGAGAGCTCGTACCTATTAGGTTCTCTGTGTGACCTTAGGCAAGTTCCATGAACTCTCTGGGCTCCAGGTTCTCAGGGAACACCTGAAGAGTGTGTGTGTGTGTGTGTGTGCGCGCGTGTGCGCGCACATGCACAAATGTGGTGGGGGGCTTTGGTTTTGGCTACAACTTTAGAATGAGTTCTAGCCTGAGGGCCCTGCCTGCTCAGTCTTTCTGGGGGATCTGGGAAGATGGGGTTGCCTCTGTTCCTGTTCCGGCCCATTTGTGGGCAAAATCCCTGTGTGGCCTTCTCAGTACTGAGGAATCATCTGAGCCCCGGCCTGAGAGATCTGCGCTCCCTTACCCATGCCCGTGCCAGAGGAGGGCAGCATTAAATGGCAAATAGAAAGCACCCTGACAGCTTGATAGGCCCGAAAAAAGGAAAAGCTTTGTCTCTGCCTTTTGAACAGGGGCCTTGCATTTTTATTTTGCACTGGGCCCCACCTTCAGGTGGGGAAACTGAGGCACAGCACCGGCCTGAAAGCACTCCCCAGTTTCATGCAGACCCAGAGAACCAGAGTTCTAATCCCAGCTCTGTTGCCAACATGTCTCATAACCTTGAGCAAGACCTTGCCACTTTCTGGGCCTCAATTTTCCTATTTGTACAATGGGGAGTCAGAAGAGGTACCCTCTGGCCGTCTGGGGGTCATCGGGACTCGGGGACAGCCCTCCCCTGCCCTGGGCTCTGACCACAAAGAGGGTGTCTGTGAGTCTCAGGTGAGCTCCATCAACATCTCCCCTGTGATTCTCCAGCCTCAGTGAGAACGGTTTGTCCCTGGATGTGGTGTTCATGTTGACCCCGTGCTTCTCCACTCTGCCTTGGCTCCTTCACTTGGACATCAGGTCAGTGTGGCTCTGGGCCCCCTCCCTGCCCCTGACCCCACGGGCCATGGGCTCCCACCGCGCTTCCTTGTCTGTCCCATTCACAGTGTCGCCTCTCGGGGTCCTGCGTAGCACTAGGCCCCATGAGCATGTGGTAGGTGTCTGCTGAATGAATGAATGGACGATGAATGAAAGTAGCCTCAGGACACTGCTGTCTCTCCAAGTTTGCCATGGAGATCCAGCAACTCTCCCTTACTCACGCTCTGGATCCTCCTGGGAGACGTTTATGGAAACCTGCGGCTCCCTGATGGAGGTTGGGTGCCCGAGGACTGGTCTCGGTCATGGGGTTTCTGGAGCTGATAAGAACATAGAAGGGAGGCCTCCTGGCCAGGCAGCCTGGGGCCAAGCCATGCAGATGAGCCATGGTTTCAGTGGGGTCTGCCCCTTCCCCCAACTTTCTCCTTCCAAGAGCGGGAGGTGTGGGCACAGACAGATCAAGTTCAAATCCAGGCTCACCACTTAACCTGCTGTGCAGCTTTGAACAGTCACTGGGCCTCTCTGTGCCCATTTTTCTCATCTGTCAAAGGGGAGTAAGACTATACCCTTTATCTGACAGCCTTATCGTGAGCGTGAAAGGAGGCCCCGGTGGTGGTGTGCTTTGTATGTGCCTCAGTCCGTGTCATTATGCTTAGTATGTTGTACGTTGTTGTATTTGCTGAGAGTGTGGGCCACCGTCCAGGCCCTCCGTGGCCAGGCCATCTGGTCTCTCTCAGACGGCTGCCTCCTCTCTGTCTGCAGCTCTGACAGCCAGCGTGTCATCCTGAGAGGTGACAGAAGAGGCAGGTGAGGAGGGAAAGCTCCGAGGAGGGGAGGATGGGCTCCCCCTCCCCCTGGCCTCCCATTTCCTACAGGTGCCCCCTACCCCAGCCCCACGCTGACCACTCTTGGCCCTAGAGTAACCCACTCAGGTCTGGCACCCCTTCTGCAGATGAGCCCCTGTGTCCATCAGTTCACAGTAATCGGCCACTTAGCTCTGTTAAGAAAGGAGGCAGGGCAGCTGGAGAGGGAGACACGATGGCGGGGGTGTGGCAGAACAGGTGCTCGTTCAGGGCTGCTGAGTGGGAGGGAGGGTGGCCGGCCTCTGCCCCTCTGGACCTCTGCAGACTTCATATGAGTCACCGCCCTTCACACTCTGGGTATGGCGTTCGAGAAGCCAAGAACGGTTGGTGCTCTTAAAAAGTTTCCACACCTTTGCAGTAAACAAGGCATCAGTTCTGCACAGATGTTCCCAGCTGCCCCCTAGTGGGGCCCGGCCCCCTGGTCTCTCATGGGAGTTTGGCAGGCCCAGGGGCAGCCTAATGTGGAGCTGGGGAGCTTGGCAGCTGGGCAGATGGCCTTCCCAGCTAAGGTGTCACTGGAGGCATTGTCAGACCAGCCGGGCTGCCTGAAGCTGGAGTGGCCCAAGGCCAGGGTGGTCTTGCGACCTGGGCCAGGGTCTCGATTTCTGGGCACTCTCTGGGTTCTCGAAGCCTAGAGAGTGGAAGGCTGGGGATGATCAGAGGGAGGAGGGGTTCTGTCCCGGCCCCCCCTGACCTAACCAGGTGCTGCCACCCGGACAGGTGTAAGCTCCCAGCTTTTCTCACTCTGGCATCTGTATAGGGAGGGACTTGATGGTCCCTAGGCCCCTGCAGCCCTGACCTCTGAGTCTTGTCTTCCCATGTGTGTGTTGCGAACTTTCCTCTCAAAAATGGTCTCCCGACTTCAAGGGATCGATTGGCTGGTGGGTCCTTGCCAGAGTTCCCAGCTGGAGCCCAGTTCTTGGCCTTTCATCAGCGCTGCATCCCCAGGAGCCTCTGGTACTGTCTTAACCCACTTCTTTTTGGGGGGGTAACCATGATACAGTGAAGAGTTGGGGAGTGAGGAGAGCCTGGGGCTGGGGGAAGAGAGTTCGAGAGAAGGAAAAGAAAGGGGGCCAGTATGAGGGCTGCTGCGGGGGCTGCTGGGCCCAGTGTTCTCCCCAGAGAAAAAATTCCATGCTGTTTTTCAGAAGACATCCCAGCTCTGCCATGGCTGTGTGACCGTGGCTGGGCCCCTCCCCTCTCTGGGCCTTGATTTCCTCACCTAGGAAGAGGGATGCCTCATCTGGGGCCCAAACAGGGTTATCCAGAGGAGAAGTGGGAGGAATGTCCTAGGCAGGTGGGTCAGCCTGGGCATAGGAAGGCCCCGAGGAGGGAAAGTTTAGCTCTGGAGAGGCACCTCAGTGTGGCTGGCATACACAGGGCCCGTGGAGGCAAGAGAAGCCATTGAAAAGGCCCTTCGCTTTTAGCCTGAGAGTAATAGGGAGCCACAGGGGGCTTAAGTGCCTGAGAAGCATGGTCAGATTTGCACAGTTAAAAAATAAGCTGCTGGTAAGTGGAAAAGTATTGCAGGGAGGCAAGAGCAGAATTGAAGGGTGTTAAAGTGGTCCAGGCAAGTGACAATGGTGGCCCGGACTCTGGCAAGGGCAGTGGGGAGGCACTGGAATGGAGTGAGGGCAGCTAGGCACTAGGAGGCCTTTACCGTCACTTAGTGGTGGGGATCGGGCTGTAGGGGAGACTTGGGGTGGCAAGCGTGCCCTGTGAGGGGACGATCCTACAGCCTGGAGATTGAGAAGGAGGGGTAGAGAGAGAAGGGGAGAGTCCCTGGGGCTGTACACCCTTGGCCCTTTCTGACCCCCTGCCCCGCCCGCTGCCCACTTTTAGCCTCAGGCAGTGTCAACTGGAACCCCTGAGCCTCGCCCACCTCTGTGAGACTCTGAAGAAGTGTCCGGGGCCTCTGGAAGTCAAGTAAGTAAGGGGGGCACAGTCCTAGAGGGCACAATGGGGGCATCTGCCCAGTGACTTGGGTGGGAGCGTTCTGGTTAGAGGCCGGGTGAGTTCTTCCTGGTCCCCAGCCCTTGGAGCCCTACCCTGCCCCTCACCTACCTGTAGCAGGCTCCTTGCGTCCCAATAGGGCACCCTACCCTTCTACCCGTAGAGGCTGTGCTAGGCCCAGGGCTCCCTCCTCAGCATTTGCTCAACTCGGGGCATCTGGGAGGCCCAGGCTGCTCCCTCTACCCCTGGAGCCCCACCCGGCACCGCCCCCCATGCCTGCCTCCATAGCTGGAGCATGTCCCTTCTGAGGGCCCCCCCAGGGCCTCCCTCTCCTGGTTACCCACTCACCCAGCCCAGAACCCCCAGGGTCTGTGACCAGAGACTCGACCTGGAGTCAGGAGTCCTGGCTCAGCCAGCTAACGGGCTGGGAGCCCTTGGGCACATGGCTCTAACTCGGTGTGCCTCCGCTTTGTCACCCGTAGAGATGGGCAGCCTTTCCTTTGTCCTCCTGCTTATCACTTTATCACAATTACCTTACAGTAAAGAAATCCAAGACAAGCCTCGCTCCCCTAAATCAGCCCTTCTCCACATCCAGTCCGTGTTGTCACTGGGCCCGTGACCAGTGTCCCCCACCCCCCGCCACGGTCTATGCACCTGATGCGTTTTTCCTGTTCAGAGCCACAGACCCTGCTGTGCTCGCTGGCTGCGCTTGACACGGTTTTCCCTTGACGACGGTCATTGTTCTTGCTTTCCCGCTCGCATCTCTGGTGCCCTCCTGGCCCTTGCGAGCAGCTCATCTATGGTCACCCAGGGTCCATCCTTCCGTGCCTCTCTCCATGTGCGCGCACATGGGGACTCGGAACACGGAGGCTTTAACGTCATTACGAGACACGGGATTTTACCGTGTCAGATCTCCACAGCTGGCTCTTGTCTCAGGACTGTACATCATGACTTCCCTGGAATGTGGAGTCCAGGAACTTTTAAATAAGCGCTTATTTTCAAATAAGTTAAGGCTTGATTTACAGAAAAGTTGCAAAGTTAGTCCAGAGAGTTCCTCCGCCCCCAGCCCCCCGTGGTTAGTAGCGCCCGTCATGGTCCGTTTGTCGCGACTGGGAAGCCGGCCTTGCTTGTTACATTTACCACACTCCAGGCTTTCCTCAGATGTCCCCGCTTTTCCCTCCTAAGACCCTTTCTCTGACCCAGCATCCCGTCCAGGATCCCGCATGGCGCTTAGGCGTCATGTTCTCAGCCTCTCTGGTCTGTGACGGGTTGTCAGTCTTTGTTTTGTATAACTTTGGCGGCTTTGAGGCGTACTCAATAGATACTTTGCAAAATGGCCCTCAGTGTGGGTTTATCTGATGTTTTTCTGATGGGTAAACTGGGGTTCTGGGTCTGGGGGAAGAAGACCGCAGAAGTGAAGTATGCTTCTCGTCCCATCTCAGAGGCGCGGGCTGTCGACTTAGGACTGTTGAAGTTGACCTTGACTGCCTGTTGATGTTGACCTTGACTGCCTGGCTGAGGAAGTGTTTGTCAGGTTTCCCCACTGTGAAGTTACTTTTTAATTAAAAAAAAAAAACCACACTTCTATTATGGATACTTTGGAGCATATATGAAAGCAGAGAGAGTAGTGGAATGGACCCTCACTCTGCCTTCCTCAGTAATTACCATGCCGTGGTCCCAGCACACACCTGTACACACAGTATTTTGAAGCAAGTCCCAGACACCTCTTAACTTCATCCATAGTTATTGTAGTATATGTAGCTCAAAGGTAAGTGCCCTTTTTTGAAAGGTTTTATTTACTTATTTGAGGGGGGGGGGAAGAACCTGAAGCAGACTCTGGGCTGAACGCAGAGCCTGAAGTGGGGCTTGATCTCACACCCTGAGATCATGATCTGAGCTGAAGCCAAGAGCTGGCCACTTAACTGACTGAGCCACCCAGGGGCCCCTGTTTATTTTTTTAGTATAACCACAAAACCATTATCAGACCTAAAATATTTGGGGGGGTGTCTTTTGTTTCTCTATCTATCTATCTATGTATATATACTTTTTATTTAAATTCAAGTAATTAACATAATGTATTACTGGTTTCAGAGGCGGAGGTCAGTGATTCATCCGTCTTATGTAACTCCCAGGGCTCATTACATCATGTGCCCTCCTTCATGCCCATTTATTTTTTCATATCTGTGCCTTTTAATATTAACCCTCCATAGGGGCACCAGGGTGGCTCAGTAGGTTAAAGCCTCTGCCTTCGGCTCAGGTCATGGTCCCAGTGTCCTGGGATCGAGCCCCACATCGGGCTCTGTGCTCTGCAGGGAGCCTGCTTCCACCTCTCTCTCTATCTGTCTGCCTCTCTGCCTACTTGTGATCTCTGTCTGTCAAATAAATAAATAAAATCTTTAAAAAAAAAAAAATTAACCCTCCATAGTTTAGATGTGCCACAGGCTCCTCAGCCGCACCCGTCTAGAGTCTAGATGGACGCCCAGGCCGCTTCTAGCAGTGCGGGAGCCAGTGCTGCAGAAAGCTCTTTTCTGTCGTGTAACTGCTAAGCACCTCCTATATACCAGGCACCAGGCCAGGCCCTGGAGGGGGCACAAGGATACAGCTGGACGTCCCTGCCTGCTGTGGCTCCCCTTCTGCAGCTGGAGGCTTTGTGTCAGCTGCCCCCGGCAGCGCTGGGTGGTCTGAGCACAGATGGGGGTCTGAGGGCCCCCCTCCCTCAGCTGTGGCTGGAGAAAGTGGGATAATAGCATGAAAGCACTTTGCCGACTGTAGAGTGCCAGGACTACGTACCAGAATATTGTTATCAACGTGCTTAATGCTGAACTCCAGTCACCGGATGCTGGGGAAGGGGATGGGAATCCAGCCCCTCCCCGAATTCTACCACTGCAGGTCTGCTCTGCCTGGGCACTGCCTGCATTCCATGTGAGATGTTGTAATGGGTTAAGTTGCTATTATTGCCTTAAAAAAAAAAAAAAAGTGTCAAGCCCACACTGACCCAGCCAGAGGTCATGACACTGTGTACTGGGGGACTGGTGGGACAGGAACAGGGACAGCAAAGGGCAGAAGGGGAGAAGGCACAAGGAAGACACAGCTCAAAAGCCTCTGGGAGTGGGGAGGTTGCTCCAGACCCCTGCAGAAGCTCTATACGTCGCAGGGTGCTTAGACACTCTACTGGTCCCGGGTCTGCAGCCCAAGCAGACCCCAAAGGCTGGATGTCGGCAGTTTCTCCCAAGTGGGCTGGGTTCTGACAGATTATCCTGACAAGCGATCAGCTGGTTGGTCTGGTTTTGACGGACAACCCGAGACCCCAGCTAACCTGCACCTCAGCCCCTTTGCTGACCGGCTGTGGGCCGAGTGGCCGCCATTGATCTCACCGTGGGTCAAGGTGTCGTGCTCTTCCTAACAAGTGTCTTCTGCACAGCGCCCATCTCCAGGGCCCTCGAGAAAATGCTCCCGTGAGTCTGTGACATTCGGGGAAAAGTATTAAGAGTTCCCTGGGAAAGTCACAATGCCCAGCAGCGTACTCAGACTCTTGAGACGTCCTGCCGCAAAGGAAAACAATTTCGTTTGGCTTAACCAGCACTTTCCAGACTTGTGTGACCTTTGTTTTCCTCCAGCCTCAATGGTAACGCAAGGGCCCGGCGTTTGGAGGGAGCGTGTTGGACAGCTCCTGTCCAGAGGGCTCTGGCTGCGAGGGTGCACTCCCGGATTTCCCCAAGGCTCCCCCGCCTCATTCGGATGCTTTGCTTCACAGATTGTCCTGTGAGGTCCTGAGTGACCAGAGCCTGGAGACCCTGCTGCACCACCTAGCCCGGCTCCCCCAGCTCAGCCTGCTGCAGTAAGACCGCTTCCCCCATCTCCCTATGCTAGGCTGAAGGTCTTAGCTTGCAAAGCCGTCCTCTCCTTCCCCGCCACTCATTTTTCCTGGGCTTTTATTTTATCTGGGAGCTCTTCCCTAATACCTCTCTCACCTTGGGGTGTGTGTGGGGGTGGGTACTATGTGATCAGTTTCCTCATCTGTGAAATGGGACTCCTGTTCCCCAACCCCTCCCCCAGGGCTGGGGCTCCAACAAGACAGGTGTTCTCTGGGCACGTCGAGGAACAGAGGGGCTATGGCAAATGGGCTGTCGTACTTCTCACCCCTGGAAAGGTCACCAGCTCCTCAAAAGGGACTTGACAGATGTAGGTGGTGTCTCTGTCACACGCCAGTTTCTAAAGGTCACCGTCTAACTCCGCCAAAGGGGAACTGAAGCAGCATCCTCCAAAGTATTTAAAACTCCACTTTCTAATTTCAGCGCAGACTGGTTAGAATTTAAAAAGGATTTACTTTAAATACTCTTCCAGCAGGGGGAAAGCAGCTGCAGCTGGGATGGAAAAATACAACGGGAAATTAAATCATACCGTTAATAACAGCAACATAAGTACTAAGGCTAAGGCTCTCTGCGATGCCCGAGGCAGCTCACTTCGCAGCCGGGATCTTGCTTGTCCCCGAGTCCTACTGGGAAGGGACGGAGGAGCCGTGTGACATTCAGAGGTGGGCAGATGTGGCAGAGCTCACGTCCACGCACGGCCCCCCACGACGGGAGGGGCTCCTTTGAACATACAAAGTGGCAGGCTAAAATGACCAGGTGGGAAGCCCCGGACCAGTGAAGGACTTCTCCATGCCCACATCATATAACCCCTAAAGCTCTTCTGTCTTTGGAATGAGGTGGCCAGCCTGCCCCTCACTCGGGCTCATGCTTTGTACTACTCAATCCATACACTGTTTGGAGGGCTGGAGACACAGCCAGGCAGGGGGAGAAAAGAGTAAGTCCTCGTCATCTTGGAGCTCACCTTGTAATAGAGGTAGCTGGACGATAAGCAAGTAAGACGAATTCAGACAGTGATAAGGTATTTGTCTAGGTGATGTGGAAAAGAGTGCCTGCAAAGGTGAGGGCATCAGGGAATGCCTCTGAGGAGGGATGCTAAGGTTCGGTCTGGAAGACCAAAAGGACCCAGGCTTGTGAAGAGCAGGGAACAGCATTCCAAACAGAGGGAAGAGCATGTAGGAGGCCCTGAGGCAAGATTGAACTTGGTAGGGTCAAGGAACAGCCAGAAGGGCACTATGGCAGGAGGGGAGGTGGAGAGAGGGACCTGCGCCGGGTCACACATGGCCTGGGAGCCATGGGGAGGAGTTTGGGATTTTTGTCCAAGGGGACTTGAAAGACAAGAGGTGTGATGTGTGTTTTCGTTTTCTTTTTTCTTTTTTTTAAAGATTTTATTTATTTGACAGAGCGCGCGCATGAGCAGGGGGAGCAGCAGGCAGAGGGAGAGGAAGAAGCAGGATTGATCCCAGGACCCCGGGATTATGACCTGAGCAGAAGGCAAATACTTAACCGACTAAGCCACCCAGGCACCCCTGTGATGTGTGTTTTCAAAAGCTCAGTGTGGGGGCGCCTGGGTGGCTCAATTGGTTAAGCATCTGCCTTCAGCTCAGGTTGTGATCCCAAGGTCCTGGGATCGAGCCCCAAGTCTGGCTCCCTGCTCTGTGGGGAGCCTGCTTCTCCCTTTCCCTCTGCCTGCTGCTCCCCCTGTTTGTGCTCTCTCTGTGTCAAATAAATAAAATCTTAAAAAAAAGAAAGAAAAGAAAAGCTCAGTCAGGGTGCTGGGTAGAGAACGGGTTGGGGGACAAGCGTGGAAATGAGAGCAGGGAAGAGGCTGTGTAGGGTCGGAGATAGTGGGTCCAGGATTGGTGGGGCTGGGGCAGAAGCAGGTCGATTCGGGATGCGTCTTGAGAGTAGAATGGACAAGAAAAGTGGAGGAGGGTTTATGGGGCGAGGGAAGTGGAGGGGACAAGGACACCTCCAAGGGCAAGACAGAGCCATCTCACTTTCGCTAAGACAGTGGTTCCCAGCTGGGGGGCACTTTGCTCCCCAGTGATACATGGCCGTGGAGACATTTTTAGTTGTCGCGGCAGTGGGAAGTGGACAGGGAGAATTACGAATGAGTTTAGTGTGTAGAGGTCTGCTGTGCCAGTGAACACCCTACTGGACAGCCCCAACAACGAGTTATCTAGCCCCAAATCTGATAGATAGCTAGCCCCAGATTTGGGGTTGAGAAACTGCTCCAAGGGCCTAAAGCTTCCCGCTCCCTGTCAGGAGGACTGGGCTGTTAAGTCTGTGCTTGGGGCCAGAAACAATATAATCATAAAACGAGCATGGGTATCATGGGTATCACGCTAGGCAGTACACCAACTTGATGTATTTAAGTCCTCACCACACCCTAGAGGAAGGTATCCCACAGGTAGTCCTGTTTTCCGGGTAAGGAAGCTGAGTCTCAGAGAGGTTAAGTGACTCTTCCAAGGACACACAGCCGGTAAGCAGAACTGGAGCTCAAACCTAGGTCTGCTTGACTTGAAGTCTCTGTTTTTCCCCCTTGAGTCCCTGCTTGCCTTCTTACTGCCTCGCTGACCTCCCTTTCCTTCCCCTCCGGCCCATCCAGGCTACTTGCCCACTCTTGGCTTGGCTCCAACTTGCCTACATAAGGCCCCGCTCCTTTCCTTCTCAGGCTAAGCCAGACAAAGCTGTCCCCGAAGAGCCCCCTCCTGCTGGCCAACTTCTTCAGCCTATGCCCACGGGTTCGGAAGGTGGATCTCAGGTGGGCATCACCCTAGGACAACCGGCTCTAGCCTTGGAGGGTTGTGCCCTGTCTGGTGGGTGGAAGGGACCCAAGTCAGGGGCATGGCTTCTGCAGGAAGGGACGCCTGCCCCCGGCGGCATCCTGAGGCTGTGGCCAAGGGCGGCTGACTCAGGTGCTGTCTGCTCCAGGTCCCTGTGTCACGTGACCCTGCGCTTCAGGTCCAGCGAGGAGCGGGAAGGCGAGTGCTGTGGGTAAGTCCCTGAAACCGTGCCCAGGCAGCTGGTAGGTACTGGGGACAAGTAGACCCGCCTCTTGGATGCCTAGAGCAGAGTACAGCTTGCCTCCCGTGGGCCATTTCCTTGAAAGGACCCAGCAGGGAGCCTTGTTTCCTTCAACATGAAGAAGCAGAGGTCCAGAGAGGGCCGGGCTTTGGCAGAGGCACATAAGGAGGACCTGTCAGACTAGGCCAGAGCTCACGGGCCTGGTCCAAGGAAAATGACATTGTAACAGGCCCACCGGGCTTTAATCCCAGCTCCATGGGGCCTGGCCCCTTGCACGAGCTCCTTAACCTCTGTGTTCCGCGGCTTCCGCAGCAGAAAAGGGAGCCAGCATATCGCAGGCTGTTTGCAAGGATTAACCGAGACGATGTGTAAAGCAGGTCGCACTCCCAGACACGGGTGTCCTTGCCCAGCTGGCTCCTGGACCTGTGCTCCATGGCATGACGGGGAGGAGGTGCTGCCCCAGAGGCAGGATAATGGGGTGGAGGACAACCTTCGCCTGCAGAGATGACGTTTCTGGGGGCGGATACCACTGGCTCACCAAGATGCCTCGGACCAGACCCTTCTCTCGTCGGCCTCAGCCTCCTCAGCTGTGAAGTCACAATAAATAGGAGAATCAAGATATGTTGAATATCTGCAGGATGCCATTCTAGAGCCTTCTGCACGTTGTGTCCCATATGCCTCACAGCTGTGATCCCACAGCAGGAAGGGGGCCATCGGGATTCGAACCCAGGCCATTCCACTGTGCTCCTCAGCCCAGGGCAGACAGACTTTTCCCCGTAAAGGTTAGATTGGAAGGAGTTTGCGGTTTGCAGGCCACACGATCTCTCTGACAGCCACTCGACCCCGCCATTGTAGCTCGAAAGCAGTGCGGACAGTAGGTAAAGCGATGCCCCCACGCCCCCCGTGCTGGTGAGACACGTTTATAGACGTGGAGACTGGCATTTTGTGTGTCGTGCGTGTGTCAGAAAGTCGCCTTCTTTTGATTTTTTTTCTCCACCATTTGAAAAATGGAAAAAATTATTCTTAGCTTTGCAAAAACCAGACGGCCCTGGGCCATAGTTTCCCACCTCCTGCCCGAGGCCAATGCTACCCCTGACTTCTCAAATGCCTGGATTGTTTCTAACCCCACAGTTTCCAAAATGCAGGACAGAGACCAGGATGAGAGGATTTTTCAGGAGGTTGGGCACAAGTATGGTAGTACAACATCACCCGAGTCCCTTCGTGAGGTCATTATTCCCTTTTTGATTCTCAATCTGATTAAGGCCAAGCGGAAGTCTGGGTGGGGGGTTGGCCTGACTTCAGCGCGGTTCTAACACTTGCTAAGTCCCGTTCTTTTTTTTTTTTTTTAAAGATTTTATTTATTTATTTGACAGAGATCACAAGTAGGCAGAGAGGCAGGCAGAGAGAGAGAGGGAAGCAGGCTCCCTGCTGAGCAGAGCCCGATGCAGGACTCAATCCCAGGACCCTGAGATCATGACCTGAGCCGAAGGCAGAGGCTTTAACCCACTGAGCCACCCAGGCGCCCTGCTGAGTCCCGTTCTTAATCAAGGGGGAGAGCCGTCAGCCAGTACATTCTGGCTCAAACTTAAGGATGATATTTGGCTTTCATTTCACATGTCCTTATCCCTGTGGTCTGTTTGTGGCATCCATGCCCCTTTTCTACCTGAGCGAATGATATGAGGTTTCCTTTTGCAATAAATGCATCCAGTGAAAAGAATGAGCTGATTTAAAAATAGGAAGTAAATAATAGTATAATAAGGAATTTGGGAATGGGGGACAATCAGGAAGGAGAGGAACAGCAATTAAAAATTTGAGATACTGGGACGCCTGGGTGGCTCAGTGGGCTAAGCCACTTCCTTCAGCTCAGGTCATGATCCCAGGGTCCTGGGATCGAGCCCCACATCGGGTTCTCTGCTCAGCAGGGAGCCTGCTTCCCCCTCTCTTTCTGCCTGCCTCTCTGCCTACTTGTGATCTCTCTCTCTGCCAAATAAATAAATAAATCTTTAAAAAAAAATTCGAGATACTGATTTTAGGTACTTTCTGATTTTAAGATTCTTCTTCTTTTTCCCTGTTTTTTGGGGTTTCTTTTTGTTTTTTTTTTTAGTTGTTAGCTGGTGATGATAGGTCCTTCTTTTACCTTACTGTGTAGTCTTAATTTAGACCTTCCAAAGGCAGATTTACTGTTAAATCTGTGTGTGGCTATTTATTCATTTTTATTAGAGTAGAGGTGGCCTACAACATTGTGTTAGTTGCAGATGTACAACCTAATGGTTGGACAGCTCTGTGCGTTAGGCATTGTTCGCCATGATGGGGACAGTCGCCGTCTGTCACCGTACAATGTTATTACAGTATTGTTGACTATATTCACGATGCTCTACTTTTCATCTTATGCTTTACATCATCCCCTTGACTTATTTTGTAACTGGAAGTTGGTATCTCTGAATCCCCTTCACCTCAATTCCAATGTCAAAGGCAAGAGCAGGCATCACACTTCTTATCTCCCTCCCCACCCCGCATGTCTGTTCATTAACGTGACCCCCAGGGCTGGAGCTGTCCAACTTGAGCTTGAATCAACCACCAAGAGATCCTTGGCCCTATGGTTTCTGATTCAGTAGGTCTGGGCCCAGTTCTAGAATAGAATTTGCATCTGAAATAGTTCCCAAGTGATGCGGGTGCGGCTGGGATCCCTGTCTGAGAACCACCTCCCCAGAAGGAGCCCAGGGGGTGCCAGGTGGGATCTGCTGTGCCGGAGGGGAAAGTGGTGGATGACAGAGAGTTCCATAGAATCCAGCCTTGGCTGAGGTCCCATGGGAGCTGGAGGCCACACCCAGGACAAGCCAGGGCGGGCAGAGCAGGTTTGAGTGGCTCAGTGCCCCCCCCCACCCCTGGGCTTGCTGCCCCTCTTCCAGCAGGTTCACGGGCTGTGGCCTCAGTCAAGAGCACGTGGAGCCGCTGTGTTGGTTGCTGAGCAAATGTGAAAACCTCAACGAGCTGGAGTAAGTTGGGGCGTGGGAGGAGGGAGAGGAGCATGGGAGCACATGCCTGGGCGGCACCGGAGGAGGGTAGGTGTGTGTGCGCGCGTGTGTGTGCGTGTGTGCAGGTCCTCAGCACCTGATGGGGGCAGTGCAGAGCTGTTGTGTCCCCAGGCAATTGTTCTGGGGTGCTGGCGCTGACGGTGCGGTGGGGGTGGGCATGGTGGTCTCCAGTGGCGGTGATGGGGACTGTGGAGAACGGTCTCTGGCTGGAGGGCACATCGAACTGCTGACGACCTCTTCTTCTTGCCCCTTGCAGCCTCTCAGCCAACATGCTGGGTGATGACGGGCTCGGGTGCCTTCTGCAATGTCTGCCTCAGTTGCCTGTCTCCGGTTCGCTTGAGTAAGTGAAGAGCAGCCTGGGGGACAGCCAGGAGGAAGAGCCCCCGCCCCCACGCTAGGCGGAGCCCCCACCAGACATCCAGGAGAGGCTGTGACTACAGCATGGTGACCCAGGCTGACTTTGGGACGGCGAAGTGACAGTGGCTAACCCACTGACCCAGGGTCTCAGCTGTCCTGGCTTCTAGTCCCTCCTGTCCCTGAAGCCCCTCTGACTAAATCTGCAGGACACAGATTTAGAGATGTCCCCACAGCAGGGAGGGTCCCTGGGAAGTCACCCATATTCTCAGCCGATCTCCCAGGTGATCTGGGAGACTAGCGACCAGAGCCCAGATATAGCGGGTTGCTAGGCAACTGAGCTTTGGACTCTGGATGTCCCTGAGCCCCTGAGCTGTCAGCCTGGCCCCGCCAAGCCTGTGTCAGCCTCAGTGGGTGCAGCTCCTGAGGACACAGGGCCGGGTGCCCGTCCTGCCCATCTGGGGAGAGTGCCCTCTGGCCTCGCTCTGGACCTCAATGTCTGCTCCGGGAGAGTGGACGCTTGGACATTGAGGACTGTCCTCCCAGAGATGACAACCAGAGGAGAGGAGACAAGGGGGACTGGGCAGGGCTGCCCTGAGGTGCTGCCTCTACCCACCACTCATCCTGAACCTCATTTCTCTTCCAGCCTGAGTCACAACAGCATCTCCCTAGAAAGTGTCCTGGGCCTGGTGAAGATTCTCCCCTCCTGCCCACGCGTCCAGGAGGCCTCTGTGAAGTAAGACATCGGTGCCACTGCTCACGGCGGGGAGAAGCAAGACTGCCGTGCTTAGCAGTCCTCTGTCTGTGTGACTTGGGGCAACTTGCAGCCGTCTCTGAGTCTCAGGGTTCCCTGAATGGAGGACCATGGTTTTCATCCTCTGAGGCCTGGGTGACGTGGGGACCGGGGAGGTCACCGAGTGGGAAAGGCCAGGATTCAGTGTCCTCACAGAATGGGTTGGGGGGGTCTCCTGTGGTCTCGCCTTCTGCACCCACCCTTGTCCCTGTGGGCCCAGCCCCCTTCCCTCCTGCACCCCCTGGTGTCTAGGGCTCTGGAAGCTGGGCTTCCAGCTTCCCCACACCCTTCTCTCCGCAGCCTGGGCTCTGAGCAGAGCTTCTGGATCCACTTCTCCAGACAGGAGGAGGCCGGGAAGACCCTCAGGTAAGTCCTGGTCTGGGGTGTGGGGTCAAGGGGTGGGAGTGGGGAAGAGGAAGCTGACCCTAGGGCAGCTTCCATGCCTCCTTTTTCTCTCGGCCCTTTCCTCCTTTGGACACCCTGCTTCACGTTCACTGTCTGGGTTTGCGACCCCCAGATCTGCTCCCGACATGCCCACACCCCCAATCCTTAGGCCAGCCTTCACGTTCAGGGATACCTCTTAGCCTTGGCTAAACTCTAAGCCTGGAGGCTTCTGAGTATCATGGTTAAGAGCTCAGAATCGAGCCACTTGGGGGTAAATCCGAGCTCTACCATTTGCCAGCTGTGTGACCTTGAACAAGTGACTTAACTTCTCTGTGTTTCAGTTCTTCATCTGTAAAAGGGTAATAATAGTTAAGACCTTAGTGTCTTAGCTCTTAGTGTTATTACGAGGCTTAAAGGAGTCAATATATACAAAGGATCTGTCAAGGGCCTGGTTCACTTGAGCCCTGTGTCAGTTGCTGGGAGCCTCGGGTGTTCTCTCTCTCAGCCTAACTACCACCACCTCGGGTCACTTCCTCTGTATGTCTTTCTTCCTCTGGGATCATGGCCTCTGAACTAGGCCCCTGCCTCTGACCAGGCCTCCTCCAATCCCTTCACTTCACGGCACCCAGAGGGATCTTCCCAGCACACTTGGGATGGTGTCACTCCAGCGCGCTAAGCCCTCCCGTGGCTCCCCATTGCCCCCAGGATCAGTTTCAGATTCCTTAGCTTGGTCTAGCTTGGTCTCTTCTCCCTCAGTCTGATCTGGGTGCCACTTCCTATCATGGTCCTCCTCACCCCCCCAAAATCGTACACAGATACACCACACCCCACCCCACCACACACGTAACACACACACTCCACATGCATGTACACAACTCACACACGCCCGCACACCATACAGACACACACCACCCATACACGCCCACACATCCACGGAACACACACATACACACCCACAACACACCCATAACACACATGCACACACACACACATTCAGCCCAAGGGACCTTCACTCCTTACTCACTGAACACGCACTGCCCGATGAAGCTTCCCTCCCACCCGGCACTCAGCCCGACGCTCTCTTCCCTGTAGTTGCCAAGATAAACATCTCCCAATCCTTCCTACCCAGCTGAAATGTCAGCCTCATGGAAGTCCCCAAGCGCCCTGTCCCATGACCATGACCGGCCCTGTGAGGCCCATCTGCAGGCCACCCAGGGCCACAGTGCCAGGAGTGTGGGGCCCCAGCAGGAATCCCAGGCCTCGTCCCTCTCAGGGAGCCTGCAGTAAAGGGGTACGGGGGAGGAGGGCTGCAGCGGAGGTTTGGGCCTGGGGTCAGGCCGACTTGGACTGAAACCGGATTGCCTGTAAATGACATGGTTGGAATTGCATGAGATGCTGTGTATAAGGCAAGCTCCTCCAGTTACCCAGACGCTGGCCCAGGGCCTGGTAGCATGGAGTCCGGGCTCAATAACAGACACACCTGCCCTTTCTTGCCAGTAGGCGGGGTGATCTCTCTCAAGAGATAGAAGCCCCCAGAGCCGGAGCTGCATCGTGGGCCTGTTCTCAGGCCCCGATTCCAACCTTTGTCCTCAGTGTGGGGCGCCCCGACGGCCCTAGGGGAGATGGGAGGAGGCAGGACAGCAGCCCCAGGAGCTCCAGCAGGCCTCACCTGGGCTCTGCCCCTTCCCCCCTGCCCACAGGCTGAGCCAGTGCAACTTCGGGCCAGAGCATGTGTCCAGACTGGCCACCGGCCTGAACCAGGCTCTAAAGCTCACGGCTCTCACGTGAGTCGCCGGGCCCACCCACGGGAGCGGGGGAGGGGCGGGGGCTCCTGGTGAGAGCCACCCCGGTAACGGACCTCTGTCCCCAGGCTGACCCGGTGCTGCCTGGGCCTGGAGCAGCTGACGCGACTGCTGAGTCTGCTGAGGTGGCCGGTGGGGCTGTTCAGTCTCAGGTACTGTCTCGCTCAGGGCCCTGGAGAATGGGTCTCCCCCAGGATCGTGTCCCCAGCCACATCCCGTACCCAACCCTGCCACTTGGACCCTGCCTTTAGCCCCAGAAACCCCTTCAGGCCCACGGAGAGGCCGCCCTCCTTGAGGTGGGGCGTCTCCTTGGGCACTGAAGAAAAACAAGAACCCGCAGAGGACACCCTGCTGAGGTCAGCAATAACATAGCAGATGCCGGGTGTGCCTGCTCACGGGGATCATTTTAAAACTTCCAGAAAAGGATTGCTGAAGGGGAGGGGGAAGGAAGAACGGGGACACTAGGTGACAGGCATTAAGGAGGGCATGGGGTGGAATGAGCACTGGGTGTTCTAGGCCCCTGAAGAATCACTAAACTCTGTGTCTGAAACAGTAATACACTGTAAGTCAGCTATCGTGAATTTAAATCACAAAGCAAATAAATAGAAAATAAATTTTTCAGAAAAGCAGAGAAGTTACCAGCAGTAGAGAGTCTCCTGTCCTGAGCTCCTGGGCTTCACGGTTGTTCGGGGTTCTTCATGCTTGCTTCATCTTTTCATTTTTTTCTTTTTTTTTTTGGCTAAATTGTCCTCAAGTTATAGATCTCGTAAAACACGCCTCCTAAACATTTCACCACGAATTTTAAAAAAACGAGGACCTTTTGCACACAATCACCGTTGAATGAGGATTCCCAGGAGAATCAGATTCAGTCTGATCTAAAAGGTCCCACTGTCCCCAGATGGGGCAGCTGGTACGTCGGACCCAGGAGCCAGTCAAGCAGCACACTGGCGTGGAGTAGTGATGGCTTTTAGGACTCTAAGTCCGTGTCACACACGCCCCCGCCCTGCTTTCCTCTTTTACATCACTGACCTGTGGACAAAAGCGCCGGCTGGGCCGTGTCTACACTGGCTGGCTCTGTCCGGTAGCTTCCTCCTGACGTCACTGCGTTCGTCCCTCTAAACCCCTGACTTTCCCGGAATGGAACTTAGACCCGAAGGCTCCATGAGACTCAGTTACATATCTGGGTCCCAAACACTGAGTTCATGGCCGGGGCTCAGCGCGTCTCAGCACAGCCAGTGACGAGGCTGGTGAGGTCTCGTGGCTGTCCCAGATGCCGTTCTCCTTCAGTTGTGGTACAACCAACCTAACAAAATCTATCCTCCTAACCATCTTCAAGGCTACAGTTCAGGAGTGTTAAATGCAGCCTCATCGTTCCGCATCTACAGCTCTTTTCTTGGAAAACTGAAACTTCACTCCCATGGCACACAACCCCGCTTCCCCCTCCCCCAGCTCCCGGCAGCCACCATTCTCCTTCTGAATCCACAGTTGGGGCTGCTCTAGGGACCCCGTCTAAGTGGGATCGGGCAGGATTTGTCCTGTCTGTGACTGGCTTGTGTCACTCCGCATCACGGCCTCAGGGTTCATCCCCATTGAAGCAGGCGTCAGAATTTCCTTCCGTTTCCAGGCTGACTGATGTTGCTTTGTACATAGACACCATGTTCCGTTGATCCGTCCATCCGTCCATCCGTCCATCCGTGGATCCTTGGGTGGTTCCACCTTTTGTCTGTGGTTCTTTATGCTACTGCGACCGTGGTGTCCAGATACCTCTTTGTGTCTCTGCCTTCAGTTCTTGTGGGTATCTACCCAGCATTGCTGGCTCACCCAAAATAACACTTTAAAATAAAACTTTTCGTACTCTAAAAATAATCCGTCCTCGTTGTAGAGATTTGTGGAAAATCCAGATGAACATAAGAAAATAGTACTTTGAAAAAGAAAAAAAACTCAACATAACTTCAAAAGCAGAAATATCTTAAACAACTCTTTTTTTTTCCTGCTTCTAAATTAATGCACGCACATTGTAAAAAGTCCGGAAAAATATTGGAAACTAAGGAAGAAGAGGAGAAACCACTCATGAGAATTCTACCATCTAAACAACTGTTGTTAACTTTTAATAGATTTTTCTTGAATCTCTGTCTTCCTATTTCTTTTTTTCAAAATATTTTGTTTATTGACTTGAGAGCGAGTAAGCAAGAGAGAGAACACAAGTGAGGTACAAGGACAGAGAAGGTGAGAGAGAGAGAGAAAGAGAAGCAGACTCCCCACCGAGCAGAGAACCCAACGTGGGGCTCGATCTCAGGACCCTAGGATCATGACCTGAGCTGAAGGCAAACGCTTAACTGAATGAGCCACCCAGGCGCCCGTTTCCCTGTTTCTATCCATGTTTTCTTCTCTTTCCATACATATTTTTTTCCTTTTTTAAATACAAAATGGGGATGTTCTATATAGGATTGTTTTTCCTTGTCTTTGCCATGCAACGCTATATGGACCTTTCCTTAAGCCTAAAACTGCTGTTTAAAAAAAAAAAGAATATTTTCCGTTGGGATTGTTGCAGTAACTGTCAGAGCAAGGGTGTTGTTAGTTTCCTGTTTGATGCTTGTGCCTAGTTGTGTAATTTTATAGTTTTTAAATAAGCAAAGCCAAAAAGCGTCTGAGCCCTGCCCTTGCCCCCCCACCCCAGCTCACTCCAGGGGAGCTTCATCTCCTTCTGTTTCTGCAACAGGGTGGAGGAGCCGTGGGTCGGCACAGCCGGGGTGCTCGCCCTGCTAGAAGTCTGCACCCAGGCCTCAGGCAACATCACTGAAATAAGGTGAGTGGAGGGAGAAGGCCCCTCAGAATTCTTCTTCTTTTCATGACCACTAGGACTGTCCCTCACCTAGACGTCAGTGTCTGGCCTTGTGGGGTAGTAGCTGTGTTACTAGCAAATTCTCTGGATCTCCAAGATGGCAGGGGCTACACATATTTGTTGGGACTTGTGCAGTAATCAAGCCACAGGGCCAGAGAGAGGAAGGCAGCCACAGAATTAAGACAAAGAGCTGCTGGATCCCAGGTAGACACAGCTGGGCGTCCACACTGATTGTCTGGAAGTGACCCCTGGATTACAGTCAGCACACACTGTGGCTCTAGGACTAGAGGTGACAGAATGACGTGGAGTAGTTAAGAGCAAAGGCTGTGGAGTCCCACTGACCTAGGTCCAGATGGCTCCTGGGTCTGGGAGCTCAGAGTCAGTAGACTGGCAGCCCTGGGTGGAGTTCAGCCTCCACGGGAAAGCTGCTGTGCACCTCGAGCTGGCTACCGGTTCTCTCCTCAGCATTTCAGAGACCCAGCAGCAGTTCTTTCTCCAGTTGGAGTTTCCACGTCAGGAGAACCCAGAGGCCGTGGCCCTCAGGTAGGACCTAGTACCTGGGCCCCCAGGAGGTAGCTGGTGATGGGCCAGGGGTGGGGATAACTGTTGCTTTTGATCAATGAGTCTCGTGCCTTGCTTAGAGTCCTTTGATATCCAGAGTGTCTACATGGCCAAAGAAGTCTGGCCCAGCCTGCCCAACCCCACCCCAAACCTCAGTCTCAGCTCTAGTCATCCATACCACCTTTCAGTTCCCCCAACACCACCTTGCTCTCTTTGACCTCAGGACCTTTGCAAAGGCTATCGCTGGACCAGAATGTTCTCTCCTCTCCTTCCTTCTTCCTCCTTTACCTGGTTAGCTCTCCCTTATCCTTCAAGTCTCAGCGGAAATACAACCACCTCAGGAAAGTCCCTCTGAACTCCCAGCCATAGTCAAGTTCTCCCATGATCCACCGTTACAGATGGCTGGATTCACAGCATCCTAATCCATACAGATCATTTTGGAAATTAAAATGTCACCCCTTTTGAATGAATGCAGCCCTGCCTGTGTACATTCTGAGAATCAGACCATAGCTGGATATCAGCCCCAACTCACCTCCTTAGGTGGGTCCCCTTGTGCAGTGAACAACCTGCACAGCCATACCAGCTGCCTCATCTGGACTTCTTCATAGCACTTGCCATAATTGAATAGAAAATTGTGGGACTTTATTTCATTCGTGTTTATTTACCCCTCAAAGGTAAGCTCCTTCTAGGCAGTGACTGAGTCCCCAGCAGTGACCCAGGTGTTCAGAAACCTCTGCCTCCCTATCTACCTCCAGGTTGGCTCACTGTGACCTTGGGACCCACCACAACCTTCTTGTCTGGCAGCTGATGGAGACATGTGCCAGGCTGCAGCAGCTCAGGTCAGAGTCCTGAAATACCAGCTAGGGCCCTGAGTTCTCTGGTCACCCCCCAGTGCCCCAACCAGGCCACATGGGAAAAGCTGACCAATCCAGGATATGGTCAGCATGGGAATGAGCAGAGCCTGGGGTAACATTACTTTCTCTGGCCTTCTTGCTTCCCCAAGCAGGAGAGAATCACACTTGGCCAGTGGGGGAAGAACCCCAGGGTGGCCTAGGTGCCCCCACTGCGAGCTCTTGGGTGGTTCTTTCCCCTCTCTTGGGCTCCCCGCCTGTGTATGCTGGATGATCCCTGAGGAGCATCCAACCTGAAATCCTCTGGAATGTGCTCTGGCCTTTGCAGCTTGTCCCAGGTGAACCTCTGTGACACCAGTTCTCTGCTGCTGCAAAGCCTCCTTCGGTCCCTGTCTGAGCTGAAGACATTCAGGTATGCAGAGGAGAGCTGTGCTCTGCCCGCACACTTCCTGCCCTCCCCACCCCAGGGGCTGGGACTCCTTGAGGCCAGGAAATGATGGCAGGGTGTGTGGTCATCCACATTGCCACATGGCAAGAGTGATTTCCTCTTTTTCCTTTTTTTCCTTTATTATTTGCAAATAACTGCAAATGAACAGAAGACCTAGAAGCAGTTCCATATATCATTTTCCCAAATTCACCCCTTGTCAATGTATTTTCTCCCTTCTTCCCTCCTTCCTGACCCCTCCCTTCTGCTCTCCTCCCTCCCTCTTTTTCTGAGCCATTTGAAAGTAGTTGCATAAACGTGCCCCTTCACCCTTTGCTATTTCAATGAATTGCCTAAGAACAAGAACATTCCCTCCTGTAATCCAGTAAACATATAAAATGCAGGAAAGTTAACATCCATGCACTATTGTTATCAAAACTACCGTTCATATTCCAATTTTGCCAAATGTCCCAGTCATGTTGTTTGTCACATTTTTTCCCCCAGTCCTGGATTCTACGTAGGATCACGCGCTACACTTAATTGTCATTTGCCTTTTGTCTCCAATTTGGAACGGTCCTCAGGCCCTCTTTGTCTTGCACGATATTGTCATGACATTTACATCTCAGTGATTTTGTCGTTGATTTTCCCTCTGTTTGGCTTCAGTGTTCCCTCAAGTTGAGGTTTAGGTCCTGCCTCTGGGGCAGAAACTCACAGAGGTGGTGTTGTGTTCTCTTCGGGGAGGCACACTTTGTCTCTCCCCCCCCCGCCCGCCCCCACCCCAGACTGGCAGTAATAACTGTGATTCCCCGCTGAAGGTGGGAGTGTCTGCCGGCTTTCTTCCCCTGCAAAGCTACTGTTTTCCCCTTTCTAATTAACCCGTATCTTGGAGGGAGACACTTTAAGACGCTGTAGAAAATCCTGTCCTTTCTTACGTTGTCGTCTGCCGATTTCCACCCTCGCCGAGAAGGCTTGCCTCAATCCAACGTCAGTACGATGGTTGCAAAATGAAGCTTTTCTCACTTTTAATTCTCCTTTAAACCAAGTGATTGCATCCGGGAGCAAGTGTCCTTTTGTGGCCAATTGTATCTTGAACACCTCTCTAATACTTGCTACTCAGCTTTGTGGTTTAAATAAAGATGCAGAGCTCGTGGTAAAAGCCCATCGCTAGCTAGACTTACAGTGAGGCCCGACTGTGGCATAGGCGGTGAAGTTGCTATCTGAGTACGGTTTAGGGAAATACTCCACTGGTCCAGGCTGTATCTAAGCTTAATGATTCCAAGGTGGGGGAGATTTATGAAGGGAAGGAGGGTACCTTCCCCCCTGCCTCACCCCTCCTCCTTGGCCTCTGCTAGCAACACTTAGAGCTCTCAAGGCCTTGAGTCCCTGCCTGACCTTCTGCCTTTGACCCCCACCAGGCTGACCTCCAGCTGTGTGAGCTCTGAGGGCCTGGCCCACCTGACGTCTGGTCTGAGCCACTGCCACCACCTGGAGGAATTGGAGTGAGTCGCAGAGGTGGCAGAGGGGTGGGGGGTGGTTGGATCTGGGAAGGGATGGCCCAGCCGAGGGCAGGGGTGGCGGGGAGAGCTAGGCCTTTGGTAAGGTGGGTGGTGAGACTTCGGCCTGTCTCTTGGCTCCCTGATGAAGCCCAGCAATCCTGGGTGTGGCCTGGGAAGGCTGAGCACTGCCTTCCTGGTCCCAGCTTACCGCTGGCTCCGAGTGATCCAGGATGAGTAACCATGCCTGTCTGTCTTTACATTTCACGTGAAATGTAAAATGGGGGTCATCGCCCTTCTCTGCCAGGGGGTCTATGGGGTCGAAGGGATCACTGCACGTGTGTGTCCATGTGTCCCCTGGCCCTGGCTTCCTCTTTCGCAGCCCTCACCCGAGGCATCCTTTCTCAGCTGGATCCTCTGAGACAGCCAAAGGCCAACGGCCATGCCCCCTCCTCAGGAACCCCAAAGCCCAGCCCTTGAGCCAGGAGTGCCCCGGCGGGGCCTGGACAAAGAGGGTGGTCCGAGATCTGCAGACCCCGAGTTGCCCCCACTGAGGGCACTAAGAGATGCAGGTGGCTAGTGAGATAGCTCAGCTCCAGGAGCCGGGAAGCCTTGGCTAACACTCACCTCGTATTTGGCCCCTCCAGCTTATCCAACAACCCATTTGTTGAGAAGGACACCGAAGTGTTGATGGCGGTCCTTGAGGGGATGTGCTGGCTGAAGAGGCTCGAGTAAGTGGTGGCGGTGGTGGTGGTGATGGGGAGGGAGGAAGGTGGGGAGGAGCTGGGAGCCTAGGAACCTTTTCCTCTCTTGTGAACACAAGCTGTGACATCCCTGGATGGATACAGATGAGCCAAATTACCCTCTTTTACTCCCTTACCTGGCTGAGTGCCGTCAGAATGCTTGATCCCTGGAAATAAAATCCTCGCTCACGCTGACCCAAGCCAGACACTAACTGGCTCATGCCACAGGAAATTAGAAGGCAGCTAACTTCAGGCATGGCTGTATCCAGGGGTTCTGTATTGGTTCTCTCTCTCTGCCCTGTCCCCACCCCTATCTTGACTTCATTCTCAGGCAGGTGGTCTCTGTGGGTGGCAGGCTTCCTCTCTACCAGCTTCACAGAAAGGGAGCGTATTGTCATGTCTCTGTAGTTATAGACTCTAGATGATTCTCACTGGACCAGCTCAGGTCACATGCCCACCCCTAAGCCAAGCACTGGGGATCTAAGCATACAAGCTTCCGAGTGGCCAGATCTGGGTCACATGCCCACCCAACTGTCTGCACTTGGGGGGCCTGTGGTGTTTCTGGATGCTATTGTCAGAAATGGGGGAAACAGACTGTGGGCAGATAAGACGCACAGCTGTCCACCGCTCTTTGTTTACAATCATTTCCTTGGGAACTGGCAGTGTTTTTATTCTCATCTATACTTTGGAAGTCACCGGGTTCCAACAAGAGCAGAGATAGTCTCAGTGTGAAGGACAGCCCCCCCCCCCACTGTGCCCAGACATATCAGTATCTAGACAGAACCTTTTACACAGTGTTTTCTACTGTTAATCTCTAAGTTTCTCTGATGACCAAAAATATACCCCGGTTATAGAAAGTTCCGTAATTACAGAAATATGTAACAAAGGACACGAAATCCTCTGGCAGTGACACCCCCTGGGGAAACTGCTCTGAAGGAGCAGTGTGTGAATTTGCTTCCAGATTTTTTCAACATATGTGTTGAATATGGTTTAAAAGTAGCCTTCTGACTTTTTGCCCAGTAACAGTAGAATTCTCCCACTTTGTCCCTTTCTGCTTGTCCTGGGGACTGGGGCGTGGATGGTATCAGAGAGACGTTTGACCAGAGGACCCACGTGTCTTTCTCCCAAGCTGTTTCTTTGTCCTCCCTCCATGTGCCTTCACCTCTGCTTAGCTTTTGGAAGCTTTTGTTGGATGGGGACAGGGAGAGGGAGTGTTGGAGGCCCAGTGAGATCGTTGATTGGCTCATGCATGCATTTAACAGGTGTTTACCAGGACCTGGGGCTGGAGGTACCACAGAGAACAGGACAGATGTGTGACCTGTCCCTGGTTTCCCAGGCAACTAGTGCCACTCTCTTTACCTCTCATCTGCTTGGCCACCCCAGCTCTAAAGGGGGCATAATGAAGAGAGGGGCAGATGCCTCTGCCCGTTTCAGATCTGAGTGTCATTTCTGAGTGTTTCCTCCCTGCCACCAGCTAACCTCTTCTACCTGCCCCATCTCTGGCCGAAGAGTCAGGGGTATGGCCCCTGGTTAGGAGCCATGCCACCTGGGTTCAACCCTTGGTAGGATGACTGCTGTCCCAGTTTCCCTGGGGCTGAGAGTTGCCCATCCTGGAGCCCCCCTCAATTCTAGGCAGACCAGGATGCCTCTGAATGTGTAAGCTTGGGCAAATTACTTCTCTGTGCTTTTCTTCCCGTCTTAACTTTGGCAATAATAGCTGTACCTACCTCCTAAGGGTGTGGCAAGGATTAAATGAGATAATACATATCAAGTCCTTAGAACAGAGCCTGGCACAGAGTTCACACTCTGCAAGTACTGGCTCCTATTATTATTATTATTATTATTATTATTATTATTATTATTATTATTCCCCTCTCCTGCCCCGGGTAGGGGCCTGAAGGAGTGTGATCCCAGGGGTGACATATGCTTGGGGTTCAGGAACGGGAGTCCTATGGCCTTGGGTTCTGTTCCGTTGCTTCTGCTTTCTGTGTGGCCTTTAATAAGCTCTCTAGTCATGCTCTGAGCCTCAGTGTGCCTCATCTGCAAAATGGGGATGAGAGAGTTCTACCTCTCAGGACCCAAGCTCAGTGCTCAGCCTCAAGGGTATGCCCCCTCTGGGGCTGCTAGGATGCCTGGTCAGCAGTCTGGGTCCCGTGTGCTTCGGAACACAGACCTGCTGCCTGGGTGGCCTTCACTCCTGCAGAGAAATGGCCTTTGGATGCCTCACGCGGTTTTGTTTTATACAATATGTCTACTCCGTGTGGATGTAAATGGCTATCTTGGAGGTCCTTGGGGATTGCCGAGCACCAAGGCCTGCAGACTGGATGGGGCCTTGGTCTCTACCGGGGACCCAACCCCAATGATGTCCTCCTCTGGTCTCCTCTCCTCCAGCCTCAGCCATCTGCCGCTGGGCAGCTCCGCCCTGGCCCTGCTCACCCAGGGACTAAGCCACATGAGCGTCCTGCGGAGCCTCCGGTGAGTGGCCCAGTGACCCCATGGGAATGAGTGGGAGGACACACCCGGGGTCTGTGGGGACTGCCCGCCCAGGGAAGCACTAGAGGCATTTCCCTGAGGACCCTCCATGACTCCCGTCCTGGGCACCTTGCTGCCCCCCCAGGTCAGTGCCCACCGCTATTGCCTTCCGCTGCCACCAGCTCCCTCCTGCTATAGGAGTGACCGCCAGGGGCTGGGCCCGAATCCTGGAACAGCCCTAAATGTGCACCGTTCTCCCGGTGTGCTCGTTCACATTTCTGATTCCACGAGCTTGCGCTGCCTAGATTCTGCATTTCTAACAAGCTCCCAAGTAATACCAATCCTGGGGGTCAGTAATGACGGTATGGTCTCTGATCTGGTGACCTTGACATTCTCTCTGTGGGCCCCTGGCCACCTTGATTAACAGATATAACACATTCTTTTCTTGGGATTTTGCAAAATATAAAATGCGGTGACTACAGATAAACCCAAGAGACTTTGTGTCTCCCCGAGCCTCCTCCCCCACATGGCTGCCTAGAGTGCATGACAGATGAGGTCAGAGAGTTCGGAGAAGTGTATCAGATAGGACTAGGTCATTTCATCCAAAATTAATTCTCAGAAAGGCACTTCCCTAAAGTTTAATTTGTGAAAAGAAGGAAAACAAAACAACCTTCAGATCCTTGACACGGGGCCAAGAGTTTGCCTCCTGTGGTTTGTTGGGTTTGGGTTTTCGCCACTCATGGGGGCAGGGCAAGGTCAGGGTGCAGAAAAGGTCAATAAACCGGTTTTATGGAAAAGCCCAGTGTTTGCATCACTTAGAACACCTGTGCCAGGGAGAAATGATTTGCCTGGATTATGGAGCCCCATGAGACTGGCCATGAGCCAGGGTGGCCCGGGCGTTCCATGACATGGAGGCTGAGGCAGAGACTGGCCAGACGAAACAGTGTGGCCATGGCTCCTGGGCCCGGGGGAGCAGGGAGCTCTGGGCTTGCGTTTCCGCTTTGCCTGGGAGTCACCAGCAGTGCGTGGCCAGTCATGGTTCCTCCCTGGGCTCAGTTTTCTCATCTGGACTCCGGGTACAGTCATCCCCACCTTACCTGTCCCCCTCCCCAACCCCTGAAGTTCAACATATGGGTTCCTGGTGTGTAAAAGCTTTGCAAACCTAACCTAGCACCGTCAAAGGCCTGGGCCTCTGCTCCTGACCAAGGCCTCTGCTTCTCCAGGCTGAGCAGGAACGGTATTTGTGACGTCGGCTGCCTCCAGCTTTTGGAGGCTCTCAGAGCTGCCAGCAGCTTGAAGGAGCTAGGGTGAGTTGCCTTTCTGTCCCCCAACCCAAGACAACTTGGGCAGGGCGAGACGGGAAAAGCAAGGGGATCCTTGATAGAGTATGCTCTGCCCAGCCTCATCCCTGTGCCTTCACCCGCTTCCCCCTTCACAACCCCAGGCCTAGACCATCAGGAAACCCCAAGATGGGATGTGAGACTGGGTTGCAGCAAGAGGGATTCAGGTCAGACACCAGGGAGAACATCCTGTAAACAGAAGACAAGGGTCGGAAGTCCTCATCTCAGATGGGCTGAGGGGCCTGGCTCAGTGTGAGCTGGGGCCTCTCTCTAGACATCACTGCCTATTCTGTGCTGAGAGGGGGGCTGTGGACAAAATGACATGGGGGGCAGGCGGATGGTTCCAGTCCTCCTGTTGTTCTCTCCCCAAGCTTGAGCCACAACCAGATTGGAGACTTCGGTGCCCAGCACCTAGCTGCCATCCTCCCCGGGCTGCCCGAGCTCAGGAAGATAGAGTGAGTGGTCAGGCCTCCTGACAGGGGCCCTCAGTAGCCATACCGCGGACGGGGGAGACCCTGGCCCCGGCTCAGGCTGACCTTCCTGTGCCATCCTCAGTGTCCAAGCGGTGGGGCTGGGTTACATGCGGGCCCCGCCAGCCGTGGGATCTTCAGCCCAGGCCCTGGTCTGGTCCTTCCTGCCGCCTCGGGTGGAGAAGGTCCATGGCAGGGGTGTGGTCTCTCAGGGCCCTAGCAGGTGCGCTCGGGTGGGGGGACCTGGGTGTCCAAGGGTCTGATGTCCACCCACCCTCAGCCTCTCAGGGAATGGCATTGGCCCAACTGGGGGAGTGCTGTTGGTGGAGTCTCTCGCCCTCTGCGAGCACTTGGAGGAGCTAATGTAAGTGTGGGTCCCGCTGGCTGCCCTCTGCCCTTCGTATCCCCTAAGCCCTCATGGCCTTTGTGTTCCCCAGGGGGCCCAGGGCAGCACGGGGTCTGGAGCCAGCCGGTTCGGTGCTCACCCTCATCCCTGTCCTCTTCCAGGCTGGGCTACAACGTCCTGGGAGATGTCACAGCCCTGAGGCTGGCACAGAGGCTGCCCCACCACCTGAGAGTCCTACAGTGAGTGTCCCTCCGCCAGGGTCTTCTGCAGGGCTGGCCAGGAGGGGTTCGCAGGCAGCACTGGGGAATCAAGGCCTCCACTAACGGAACTGCCAGCCCTAGGTCAGGTCGTGGTACATGCTGGGACTGCCTGCTCCCACCCTGCCCACTCCTCCCCTGCTTCTGGAGCCTGGGGCAGGGTGGTCAGGAGACCCAGCCTCGTGCTGGGTTGTGACCAGCCCCTTCTGGACCGTGGGCCAAGCCGCTACCCGTTCTGAGTCTCGGTTTCCTTATGTGCAAAAGAAGTACCATGGTCTGCACTCCGTGTGTCCCTTAGCTGGTCTCTGAGGGCGGGTGAGGCAGTGTCAGCAAAGGGCTGGGCCACAGAAAAGCACCGGTTTCTGCCCCCGGCCTCGCCAAAGCCTCGCAGCAGCCCCCAGGCCGGATTGCTAGCTGCTCCGTTTTCCAGGCAAGGGAAGCCAAGCCAAGAGACGCATGGAGAGCTTGCTTTACTGACACATGAAAGAGCCCCGCCTTGAACTTAGGATCTCACCCCCAAAAGCTGGGGGGCCTTACCACCGCCCCCCCCGGAGTCCTGTGTGGATGGGGAGAGGGTTTGGGGTGACAGTGACCTGATGGTCTGATGGGGCGGCCTGAAACAATGCTGAGTGTGGGGGCTCTGGGAAGGCTCCTGAGCCCCACACCTGCCCGCCCTCCACTCACCTTCTCCCCTTTCCCCAGCCTGCCCTCTAGCGGCCTGAGCCTAGAGGGGGCGCTGCTCCTGAGCCAGGCCCTGGATGGATGCCCATACGTGGAAGAGATTAGGTGAGTGCGGGCCGTGGAGTGTGGGCAGAGGAACAGCCAGGGCAGGTCTCGGGGCTCCTCTCACAGGTGTCTCCCTATCTCACAGCTTGGCAGTGAACAGTCTGGCGACAGGGGTCCCACATTTCCATCAGGGGCTCCCGCTGCTCAGGCAGATCGAGTGAGTAGCCTTTCCTGACCACCTGGGGAGCTGGGGTTGGTGGGGAGGGAGGGAGGCAGCGTCTGGCACCTGGGAAGTCCTTTGAAATGACAGAGACCTCAAGTATAAGGAAGCCTGGGGCAAAAAGGGGCGCCTTCCTAAGTCTCCCCGCACCCCCACTCCGGACCACTCCTTTGCCTCGGGCTCCGACTGCAAGGCGGGCAGAGGCAGGCTGGCTGGAGATGCCCCTGACTCAGTCACCCTTCAGCCTGTCCTCTTGTTTGTCCCCAGCCTGGTTTCCTGTGAGATTGACAACCACGCTGCCAGGCCCCTTGCTGCCAGCCTGGTGCTCTGCCCCGCGCTGGAAGAAGTCCTGTGAGTGCTTGGAACAAGCCCGAGCGGGAAAGGGCGGGTTTCTGGGGGCTTGGCCTGGCTGCCCACCACCTTCCAGCCTAAAGCTGGTTGGCTTCCTCCCCGACCGGTCCCCGGTCTGTAAATGGGGAAGGTCATTCTTCCTTAAGCCTCCTCTTGAGGAAGTTTGAACATTATGGCCGTGAGTGATGCCGGGCAAATCCATTCAGCCTCTCCTGCCTGTTTCCCTCCCTGTGGGCTGGAGCAGGACAGGTAGGGAGGTAGACTAGCGGGTCTCTGAAAGCTCTTTGCCCCTGACCTTCCCTTTGGGAGGTGGTTGGGTCGATCACCTCATCTGGTTTACGGAACCTCGATTTGTACACCTCTTGCTCGTGGTGAGGCATGGCTGAACCAGCATGCTCCCCACCGGCCCGCTGGCTGTGCCCACCCCCCTCCTGGCAATCAGATGCGCTCTGGCCTTGGGCAGCCACAGGGGCGAACCATACTAAGGACTAGCCTGGGGCCCTGACCACACGATGGAAGAAAATGCTGTTTCCTAAGGTACAGGACACAGGGGATTCCAAGAGGATATTAGGTTTGCATCTTAAAGGGTTTTTTTTTACATTTTTTATTTACATTTAATTAATTAACATATAATGAATTATTGGTGTCAAAGGTTCAGTTTTATACCCACTGCTCATCTCATCACATGTCCTCCTTAAAGCCCATCACCCAGTTGCCCCATCCCTCCACCTCCCTCCCCTCCAGAAACCCTCAGTTTGTTTCCTGTGATTAAGAGTCTCTTATGGTTTGTCCATCTTAAAGGTTTTAATCCTTCTCATTACATGACACCAAAGAGAAAGTCTCCAGATCCCTGCTAAGGCATCTTTAACACCTAACACTGGTGATTCTCCTGATTTATTTTTTACTTGATAAGCCAAGAAATAGTGTATATGACCATGGAGCAGATAATTATTTCATACCAAAGATAAATCAGAGATTAGCCAGTGCAACCTAATTGCTGCGGTCTTGAAATATTACCAGCCAGAGAGTGCTTGAATTTTTTTCTGCTTACATTTTTCTTCGTGATTCTCCCTTTGTAACCAGCAGGGGGCAGGCCACAGGCTCGGCATCTTTGGAAGGACGTAGGTTCCAGCTAGAAATTATTACTATTGTCTGTGCTGTATTTATCGTTGTAACTGCCTTCTGTTTAGGATTGTCAACGCAGGTTTCCCATTGATAGTAGTGATTAGTATTACCTAAGATTAATCTCTTAAAAAAAAAAAAAAAAAGCAGAGGGGAGGACCACTTTAAAGAAAATGGGGTGCATGGATAGGGCAAGTGATGATGAAGGCACGTGCATGGTAGAAGTTTGGATCAGGACGTTGTTGCTGCAGACCATGTGCTTCGAATTCTCTGGACAGCCAGCTCTCAAGCTGTCTGGGTTCTTGAAAGATGACCAGCGCAACAACCGGGTTGGGGAGAGGAAGAGACTTACCTCCACCCTGAAAAGTCTTCTGGGCGGGCGCACAAGCACCCTATCAAGTGGCCTTTCTCACACCTGCGTGGCAACCTCCTTGGCCCCCAGCCCTCCGCACCTGCCACCTTGTCTCTACCCCTTGACCTCACTGTTTTCCTGCCACTGACCTTAGGACCCCTTCCCTGTAGGCTGTCCTGGAATCTGCTTGGGGACGAGGCGGCTGCAGAGCTGGCCCAGGTCCTGCCGAGGATGAGCAGGCTGAAGAAAATGGAGTATGAGGGGCACATCCTGGGAAACCAGAACTGGGGGAGCATGCCAAGGGGAACCCCCATCCTTGGGAAAACCAAGAGGCCACTTCCTGCCACAGAGCAGGAACTCACTGAGTTGCACATTCTGGTCCAAGCCCCTGTCAACCTTAGCTCTCCCTGGGCCCCGGCCTTCAGCCTTCCTGCTGTACTGTGTTGGGTTCTGCAAGCATCTTGGCCTGGGGGCGGGGCATATAGGGAAGCCCATCCCCCCCACTCAAGCCATTTCTCTTTCCCCGTTCTCTGCTATCTCTTGGAAAGCTTGGAGAAGAACCAGATCACAGCTTGTGGAGCCTGGCTCCTGGTCGAAGGGCTGGCACAAGGGTCTAGCATCCAAGTCATCCGGTAAAAAGGGCTCACGGTGGGGGGATGATGGGTGGGAGGCCACACCAACCTCTATAATGTAAGGGGACTCCCTGTACAAAGAGGCAAGACCTGGCTTGAGGATTATCAGAGGAGACTTGGTTCTCTTCACCAAGAATTTGGCTGCACACAGACCTGGATCAAATCCCAGCTCTGCCATTTGCCAATTATGGAATTTTGTGTCAGCAACTCAACCTCTCTTGACCTCAATTTCCTCATCTGTAAAATGGGCTCAATGATAGTATCTACCTCAGGAAGTTGCTGTGAGGACCAAACAGTTCTTTAAAGCACTGAGCACAATGCCTAGCACATAGTAAGCACTTAAAATGGTAGAATCAGAGCCACCACAGACGGCCATATAGGTTGTGCACTGCACAAGGGCATTGCCTCTACAGGACACCATTCATATATTGGCATGTCGGATTTCTAGTAAATGGTAGTGAAGTGGCTTATTCAATAGAAATGAATATTTCATGACAACTTCACATGATGGAAGTAAAGTGTCATGAAGAAGGGGAGTTTTTCCTTATTTGCACAAACGTGTCATATGAGTGTGGTCCTGGCTGGGATCATGAGCTCCTAGGGATGAAGACTGAGTGGGAGAAGTCAGGAGGTGGGTGGGGAGGATATCCATCTCCCTAGGGTAGCCATGCTGGTCTAACCTGCCAGGTAGCTCTGGGCATGGCTCTTCCCCGTCTTGGGCCTGGGTCTCCCCATCTGTAGGGGATGGAGACAAGAGGATGAGCAAGCATGCCACTCCTGGTGCTCAGTGCCTGTCTCTGTGTCCTGCAGCCTCTGGAACAACCCCATCTCCCCCGACATGGCCCAGCACCTGCAGAACAAGGAGCCCAGGCTGGACTTCGCTTTCTTTGACAAGCAGCCGCAGCCACCTCGGGGTAGTTGATGGCCCCCCTCAAGATCCTTTGAATTCAGTCAAGTGAAGCCAACTTCCACTCACCAGGACAGTGGGCTCAGGAGAAGAGCCTCAGCTGGGGGCCCCTGTGTGCTGCCCCAGGAGGGAGGGGCACATTGGTCTTGCTACGGTCTTCAGGAAGAGACCAGGAGCCTCGTGTGGCCAAAAGACTACCCCGTGTTGCATGTGACATGCGTGACCAGTCGGAGACATGTCACACAATGAAAGTGTCGTGATGTGATGGGCGACACAGAAGATTACATGTGGCAGAATTCTATGTGACGTTACGTGGAACTCGCAGCGTGACCTGTGGGCCAGTGGGATAGGTCCTGGCACCACCACGTGGCAGCACACATGATCCGTGGTTTGCATATGACATGTGACAGATGCTCATATCATAGGACTTGTGGCTGGCCAGATACCCTCAGGCTGGTGGAAAATCTAAGTTATTACTTTTTAAAACCAAGTATATATTTATACGTTGCACTTTCAGAACAGCTAAGCCGGGGAATGTTCTCCACCCAGAAGTGGGATGGGGAGAGTGTCCAAGCACTGACTAGCCCAGTGGCCTGAGGGCCAAGCCCTAGACTCAGCACGAGGCTTTGGGATGAGGCCCATCTTGCCTCAAGCCTCAGTTTTCCCATTTGTAAATGGGACGACTCCCTCCTCTTAAACCCCAGCTTCCAAAGACTTTGGGCCCAGATCTAGGGACGGTCCCCGGGAACGGATGGACCCAGTCTGACCTATGTCCCGGAAAAAGCCTTGTCTAAGGATGTGGGGTAGGCACTATTGGGATAAACAGGCAAGGCCACTGGGTTCAGACACTACCTCAGCAGGATCCGGGTGAACTCCCAGGGGCTGCACGTGCTACCTAACATTATTTCCAGAAAGGCCCAAGGATGGCCATGCCACACTTGAAGCCAAATTCGACCAATAAATGTGGATGATGTCCCAGCCTCTACCCTGAGTCTGATGTGTGCTGCTAACTCACCAAGGTCCGGAGTGGTTCACCCCCTGCCCCAGGGCCTGGAGAGCAAGACAGACCACAGAGAGGTGGACTGAGAGCAACACTGGCCCAGGAGTCAGAAGACATGGGGTCAAGTCCAGACTCTGTCTCTGCTTGGTCACAGGCTTGTGGGCAAGCTGCCTACCTACTCTGGAATCAGCAGTACTGTGAGAGTATTATAGAAGCTCAGAGTGTTAGAACGGTCCTTTGTTTGACTTGCATGCTATTTAAACTCTTTTCTGAATCAGGCGTCAATATTTAAAAGTGGGAGCTTTTACATAAATCCAGATTTTCAGTTTTCAGTTAGGCGTTAGTCCCCACATTCCCCACTCAAGGGAAATTGGTGGAGTCATTTGACCGTGCCCTTTAGGTATGGCACACATCTCTGTTTGCCACAGTCCTCACCACTCCCCAGTGTGTCCCCTTCTCCCTTTTGCTGCTTGCTGGGTCCTACTGAAGGCCTGGACTCTCGGCCCTGGAGGGGGCCACTGATGGGTGGTATGTAAAATAACATGGCTTGGGAAGTCAGATGGGCATGGAGTGGACTGTGACTTGACTCCTTGCTGTTCTTTGAAAACAAACTATTTCTGGACATGAGTTAGTAATCCCCCCTGGTCCCCAGGACTTTTGGAGCCGTCCAGGAAGCATGGTGTACAGTTTCTGGTAGGCAGCAAGTACCGGTTACATGCTAGTTTCCTTCCCCTTTTAGGGTTGAATATCATATGAGGTGAAGAGATGCTTGAAATGACAGGAGAACAGCACCCACTCGCTGTCACCGGCCTGTGGGCTGAACAGGTTGATGGCTGGAGAAGCTTTCCTCCAGAGCCGCACCCCGTTGCAGGCGGGGGTGCAGTTACCGCCTACCACCACTAGAGGGCAGGTTGGCCCACTAGTGATTTCCTGAGACTGCTTCCTTGGCCATTGGGCTCAGAATGAGGTTAAGAGTGATGCCAGCAGCGGTTCCCACCTGGCCTAGGAGCCTGGGATGTCCTGCCTGCTGGTGGCTTACCTGGGCAGCTCAGCCCTGACCTTTGCCGCCCTCCACGTTGTCTCTGGTCCCCCGGCAAGCATGAGGAGAAAGTCCTCCGGCCAAGTGCCAAGCATCCACACCCCTCAGGAGGACACACTTATCGGGCCCGGGTCAGGGCACACCTGGCTCCGGATGGTGTCATCCGCCTGGTTGTGGGGGAGGGGAGGGTCAGGCAGAGGTTCCAGCAAGTGTGCCTGGAAAACTCGAGCCCCAGATTCTGTCTCGCCTCCCCCAGGAAAAGACCAAGGTTACTGTGGGCCCTCGGGGTGCCCCTTCCTACCCAGGGGGCCCTGTGCTGTCTTCTCTCTTTCCCCAACACTGGAGTAGGAGTCCCTCCAAGCCTGAAGATGACTTGCCCAGGGACGTCATGGCTAAGTGAGGAACAGAGCACCAAGCCGAAGCTCTAGGCCAGGTGAAATGCACACCGGGAGGGCCTCGAGCTCGGGGACACTCTCCATTTGCTGTTCATTTGTTTTACTTGTCCCTCCTCTCCCCTTCCGCTCTGCCCAGGTTCTAAACCCCCAAGAAATGTTCAGCAGCTGCCCTGAGATTAACAGTCCCTTCAGCACACCAGACCCGGCTGGCCGAGCCCACTCACCTTGCCCATTTCATTCATTTTCGTCTTCTGCCACCTGCTTGCTGGGAGTCCCGGACTGCCTTTCTCCCTAGCACGGACGAGGTCCAGTCTCCCCACCTCCTTCCTCTGAAGAGTAAGCTGTTTAAATATCGACACAAAACCAACACTATTCAAAGAAAAGTAAGGCTGTGGCCAAGTGAGCAGTGAAATGAAAAGGGAGCCCCCAGGTTCCCAACGAGAACGTTCTCCCCTGGAATGTGATTGGGCCAGTAGGTGTCCATGTCTGTCTGCAAGGCTGGGAGAAGCCCGTTCTGCGACTTTGTCACCTGGCCTCTGTCCTTTCTGATGGGGGTCACCGTCTCCCTTCTTGTCCCCACAGGCCTCAGATCCTCCCAAACTGCCCCTTCCGTCCTGTCCCCAAACACACGCATCTGAAATCCACCGCCCAGGCCAATACTTCTTGAATGAAAAGTCACAGTTACGGAAACTGTCACATGCGTGGAATCATCTGGGCATTTTGTTAACATGTGGATGCGGGTTCAGCAGGTGTCAGGCAGAGCCTAGGATTCTGCATTTCCAAGAAGACCCCCTCCCCAAGTGATGTCTGTCCTGTTGGACTACGTTTAGCTTCGCGAGGCTGTCGACCAGGGAGTGGGGCTCACCCTGACTACAGGTTAGAATCACCGGGGGAACTTTTTAAAATCCCTTTTTAAAAAACAGTACTGGGGCACCTGGGTGCCTCAGTCAGTTAAGTGTCTGCCTTTTAGTTCAGGTCATGATCCCAGGGTCCCGGTATGGAACCCCACATCAGTCTCCCTGCTCAGTGGGGAGCCTGCTTCTCCTGCCTGCTTCTCCTTCTTCCTCCACCTCCTGCTCTTCCTGCTTGTACTCTCTCTCTCTGTGTCAAATAAAATCTTTTAAAAAAGAGTATTTTGAAAGCCCCCCAGGCAATGCGAATGTGCAGCCACAGGTAGGTGGGGACTCAAGGGAAGGAGTAAGTGGCTTCTGGGGCAAGCTCAGCAGGGCTCTGCCCCTATCCCCCTTCTTTTGTACCGAGGATCCTGGTGACCTTCTCTTTGCAGAGGAGGACACTGAGACCCAGAGATTTTTCCCGACTTGTCCAAAGGCACGTAGCTAGTAAGGGGTTGTGCCAGGAATCCAGCCTGGGTTTCGTGACTTTATTTTCGCTCATTTTTCCCTCGAGTTTCAGTGAGATACACATGACATACAGCACCGAGTGAAATGATGACCACAATAAGTTAATTAACATCCAGGATCTCCTAGAGAGTTACAAAAGGAAAAAAAAAAAGTGAGAAAGAAAAAAATGACTTTTTTTTTTCCTTGAGAGGAAAGCTCTTAGGATCTACTCTCTTAACCACTTTGAAATGTTTTGCGACTCAGTCCCGCAGGGGAAGAGCCAGTTTTTCTCATCTGCACAGTGACAAGGCACAAGGACCCACTTTTGTCAGCACTGAGAAGGTGACCTTCTGGTTAATTCTCCCTCGGGGAGGGTTTTGAACCCTCTGTCACCTGGCTTGCTTGGTTATTGTTCTGTAGGGCTTCCACCATCTGTGACCTCCTCTAGACCCATAGCCATCATCTGGGTAACAATCTACTGCCGACTGACAAAGGAAAAAACAGAGGCCAAGGTCACAATAGCCAGCATTCAGCGAAGCCGCAATTCTAATCCTGCACTGAGCAGGAAGCTGAGGTGGTCCTGGCAGGGTATTTAACTGGTCTGCAGGTCCGTGCGTCCTTCAGGAAGCCCCCGCCAAGTCTGGAGGGCTGGGAATTCTACCCAGACCTGTTCTGCCCCCAACCCCCCTGCAGGGCCAAGGCCAGGCTGGAGGGAGGTGGCCCCACCCCAGCCAGAGCTGCACATGCCCTCTGGACACATCCTGGAGCTTCCTGGAAAAGAACAGGACTTCTTTGGCAAAGATCCTCCCAGGGCTGGTCTCAGGAAGTTCTGGGGACAGCTGGTCTGCCTCCTGCTCCTGGCAGCCACCCTGGTGAGGCACCCCGCCCCCACCCCGTGTGTCTCCAGGCCTCTAGCCTCCAGAACGGGTGTCTTCCCTGGCCCTGGGCCTGGGCAACTGTACCTTGTTGCTCATCCCACACAAACTCAAGCCCGGCCCAGCTGCCCAGAAAGTGACCTTTTCCCTTAGGAGGAGAGGACTGAAAAGGAGCTTTCCCTAGAGAACAAAGGCCAACTGGGGTCCCCAGGTTGAGTGCCTAGGACAGAAGCATCCAGTTTCCTGGGCTATGCCTGTGGTCCGCACCCCCACACAAATATTTCAGCACAAGGTTGGGGCTGATGGAGGTGTCTGGGGCTGACTGGAAGGGGAGGGAGTGCCTGGGCATCCTGACCCTAGAAGCGGGGCTCCCTGCATTACAGCGACCACAACTCTGGAACTTAAAGACAGTTCCAATGTCTAGGAGTGCTTGGTACCCTTCTAATCACACAAGGGTCTCTCTGAATTTCCCACAAGCATCCCAAGAAGTGGATACCAAATCTATCCTCCCATTTTTATTGAGCAGGAGACTGAGGCCCAGAGGAATGAGTGATCTCACCCAGGCAATAATGACAGCCACTGGGATTCAAACCAGAGCCATGGCTCCATGCCTAGAATCTGGCTCTGGAGTCAGCCATGTGATCCTACGGGGTATGTCTCCATCACGGATATGTCTCCGTATCAGCTCCCTGTGGCAGACGGTGTTCTCCAAAGACGGCCACCACTGTATCTCCCATAACAGTGACAGTCCTCTCAGAGAGGAGGGTCTATGGAGAGAGCTGGTGACTACGGCAGAATGACATCGTATGAATTCCAAGGCCAAGGTTGTATAAAAGATAACAAGGCTTCTGCCTGGTCCTCTTGGGATGCTCGCTGCTCACTCTCGGAAACCAGCCACCATATCCCAGGGAAGCCCAGGCCGCACGAACGGTCATGGACCACTCCTGCTGAGGTCCAAGCCAACAGTCAGCATCAACCGCCAAACATATGCCTTCTAGAGAATGCCAGCCCCTCTTGTGATCTGACTGCACCTGCTTGAGAAATCCTAAGCGAGGACCACCCCAGCTGAGCCCAGGTGAACCCCCACACTCAGAGCCTTGAGAGATAGATTATAAGGTTTGGGGGGGATTTGTGATGCAACATTAATAACTGGGAGCCCCGCCATCCTCTACCCCCTCCCACACGCCTGAGGCCAGCCAGGGCCTGGTACGCAATACTCTTTTTTTTTTGGAGTGTCTTAAATTCACACTCAAGTGTATAGGCAACCCTGGTTGTTCTCATCTGTCTGCCCAGACAGCCTGGACTGTGGACATAAACACCCAGACAGCAGGTGTTT